CTGTATCCCAAAATAAGCACTGAATTTGGTTTCAGTTCAAGCAAAGTTTTTTCTATAGTCTTGTTTTCTGTTGGTGAGTAACTTTTAAGGACATCCAAATCACACTTATAGTTGATTGTTGTTATATACAAAATAGCCAATGCATGCCTGTATTTGTCCCCCCTCTCTCTCTCTCTGAGGAGCAGAGATCCTATAGCCTCCAGGGAGGAAGGGCTGCTCTGTTTCTCTGACCCCAGCTGGTACATTGAGCTCCTGTACATTAGATAAATGACCAGGAAGGGGGTGAGGTGGGCTGGGCAATGTGTGAATGTATGTTTGATGGGGGTGGGGGGTATGTAGTGAGAGGAAATGGAATATAATCAATCACAGCTAATTGTAGGTCAATGCTCTTAATGTTGAGAACACAGACACACCATCTACACATTGCACTGTAACTGGACATGAGCTAAGTGAAAATGGTATAGACCATTAGTTTTCATTTCAAAACATGGTGACAATACAAAGTGGAGAACTTATAAATCGAAACACATTTTTAGGCAAATTCGCAAACTATAGGATATTACAAATTTTAAATTACCTTGTAATGTCTGTTGCTTTGAATGTAATAAGGCAAATGATGTGAGAGCTAAGATGTCAGTCATAAACTCTTACAGATAATTATACATGTGATTATATAATGTACATATGTACGGTGAAGGATATAGAATGATATATTATATCAATTACAGGATAATACTAACACTCATTATTGTGGAAGAGCACAATAAAGTGGAAAGCTGAAACAGTAAAGTTTCCAGTAATGCTTCTTAACATTCATGTTCGCAATAAATAGCAACATATTTCACTTTTTTACTTTTGTAGGCTAAAAAGATGGTGGGGTCTAAATAAAAGGACTTCTGCTGTATGGTTGGAACAATATCTACAGCAAGTGTTGCAATAAGCCTGGACAAAATGGCACAGTACAATTTTTATGTGATGCTGGATATCAGACCTAAGGAGTACTGGGTCTGCGTCTAATATAATTTGGGCCTGAATGAAGTTAAACAGCAAACATAAAATTCCACAAAATTATAATCCAATAAAATCTACCCACGTTAATTATGTTTACCTTTTAATAAAAATGTAACAAAAAACAAAATGTTTGCAGACAGGACAATAAAGAAACAACTAAGTTCAACCAGCTCAACCTTTGGATTTTATACTGGTACCAAGTAGAACAGTGGTTATGATAATCCCCAGGACTGACAAAGTCACTTCTTGCTATTTAAATCAGGCATTGCCCTAAAACAGCCCCTCTCAGACAGTAGATTAAGTCTTCCTCTGTTTAAGAATGTCATAGGGTGTAGTTAGAGTGCATTTAAGTGGTAACAGACATGACAGGGACTCGGCTTAATGACAGTGCCCCTGTTGACCCTTACCCTCTGGAGTGCAGGAGAAACACAGGGGCACAGGGGGGAGAAGTGACGCCCTAGGCCTCTCTATGGGTTAGCCCTTAACAGGGAGCTGAGGGCAGCCAGAGGGAGTCCAGGCTATGGGGGCTGGGGTCTGCACCGTCATTACTGTACTATAGAGGAGAGTCACTGAGGCGTGAAAGCCAAGCTGCCTGATAAAAACCCGACATGTTATTTAAACTGTCCAACCTGTGTCTTAGTACACTCAAAACAATGAAATGTTGACCTCAAATAAATACATTATTATTCCTTATCCAAATATTTTTGTGGTTCCAAATTAAATAATTTAGATTTTAAATTAACTTTAGAAAACATATACATAAAGAAAGTTAATAGAGAAAGGTTGCTTTCTGTGTTCTGTAAGGTCTAATTTATATAACTGGATTCTTTGCAGAATTCACAGCTAAGAATTCAAAATACAGATGTTTTGATATGGTGCATAATTAATAGTTGTAAAGACTGGGTGAGTCAACATGAAACAAAAAATGGGACAAAGTTTATTAAGTTTCAGAGCATCTCTATAGAGGTCTAAACTACACGGTTAGCAGGTTTTTTACAGGGTAAAACATAATCATTCATACACAGGAAATTAAGTTGCAGTGCATTGCGATTTGCTAATTGCAACAATTATTAACAATAATTAGGATTTGTGATTGTGACATATGTTGCAGTCCTATTTACCATACACAATATATGTAAGAGCAAATGAAAGTGAAGCAATCAATTTTACAATAATTGACTTAATTACTTAATAACTGACTTTGCAAAATCAGCTTTTAAGAGCCTTTACCCACTCATAATAATTCATGCATGTTTTAAATATTCTTTATTCACTTGCAATCAAAACGTGAAGCTCCAAAAAGTCACGCGGGATACAATAGTATTGTGTAACTATTTGGACAAAAAAAGTGAAAATGTAGCTAGCCATACGGAGTGCCGACAGCATGGTCAAACAACTATGTTATGATGATATTTACAGTGACACATTGTAAAGGGGCAGGCAGAAATCAGTACTATCATTTTCAAACAGAAGTCAGGGGACTTATTATTTTTATTAAGTGGTTTAGACCAAAATTTTAATTCGCTACATTGCAAAATGGAAATCTTGGAAAACCACTATACTAATGAGTTGTTTTAGCAATATATCTGAAAAGGAATATATTATTGGTACTATACAAATTAATGATTAGGAATTGCTAGATATTGTCACACACAAACACACAAAAGCTAATTTACATGCAAGTCAGCAGCACTGTTTCTTTCTCTGTGGCACCTCAGCTAGATGACAGCAAGTTGGCAAGCCCCGCAGCTGGAGGCTTCTCTTTTTGTCCTCTTTTCCTTCATCCCTCTATCTCTCAAGGATTCCCTCTATTATATTATTACACATGTTAGACTGGTCACTTTCCCTGAAAAAGTTATGCAAGCCTGCCAAACTATTACTAAAAGCATAGATCGTGAATTCTGAATCAAGAGAAACTGACTACAAAGAACATTCAAACTGATGGAAAAATGCAGTATGCTGTCAAAGTTTCTGGAGCTCAGATGATTTATTGCAACAACTGGCTTAACCTTATTTGGGGTATCAATGGGAAACATCTCAAAGAATACATTTACTGGTATATATATCATCATCACTGAATATAACACGCTTTCTTATTGTGTAGCCCAAGTATGTACTATGTAGGGCTGTTAGTGCAGTGTGGGTGTTGTTTCTGAGACTACTGGAGATGCTATGAACCAGTGACAAGTTAATCCGCTGCAGCTGTACCTGTGCCAACCCTGAGAATCTCAACGCCGCTTTAGGATGTTATGAATCATGCACAAAGATATGGGGATTACGGTTTCGATGACTCATCGCGAGTCACCTATAGACAAAAGTCCACAAATATGTGCTTTATCTATTAAGAAATAAGCCACCTATAGATACAGTGTGTATAAACTCAAGAAAAAGCATGCAGGCAATGTTCAGTAATTACAAGCTCTTATTGAACAACAGTGTGGCAGCTGGCTCCCAACTCTTTGTCTTTTATCAGCGGTTACAACCCGGCAATGAGATAAATCCCCAGGTAACCACCACAAACACGACAGTACCCAGACTTAAAAGACAAGGTCTCATAGAATACAAGCTATTTTGTCAGTGACTTTGTATGCTTTCATTTTTCGTAATATTAACCACTTAACACCCAGATATAGAAAAAAAGACCACAATTTTCATTCAGGTTGTACCATGGAAAAGACAGCCTCCACCACATGCTCAGCTGTGACAAGGATTTGACATCACTGTGAGACTAAAGAGTGACTAAAACTGACAATCCCGTTACCCCAGAGCAAAGGAAAAGTAGGAAAAATAACTGAAGGATTGGGAGGAGAGGGATGTGGAGCTCTCAAATGGGTAGGGAAACAGTGGAAATGGCCTGGATGATTCACACAGTGTGCACCGCAGCAGCTGAGGTAGCCATGTCTTGGAGTCCATGAGTCATGTTTATGATGCACCAACATTACATAGGGATTAATGCACAACTTTTGCCCCACAGGAATTTGATTTAAATGAAAATAGCGGGAAAAAAAGGACTAATACACTGCCATCAATATTATTTGCAGACATTTGGAATTGCTCAAGCATTAGTTTCTGTGAGAAACATAGCTTATTATATGCCAATGTGAAATAATATGAAAAAGCTCTTTAACTTAAAACAGAGAATTAGAGCCACATTCACGGTCTGTGAGTATGCAAATGTATCCATCCTTTTCATTGAAGACGGAGAGTTACAAGAAGATATTTAAGGCCACTACCCTTAAATCCATGATCCCTACTCATTAGTGTAGCATTCGTCAGTGGGTTGGATCCATGTTTTAATACATCAACAGTGCACTACCTGACTATAAGTAGGACAATATTACTGTGCGTAATACTTGGTAATAAAGTGGTTCACACCAAGCATAAAACCCGATGGAGGCGGAACACTTCGGTCCACCTTAAAACTCAGCCCTACAGTGGACAGCGCCGTGGTGCTGAACTGCTCCGAGCGACATCTGTACACAGAGGAGCAGGGCACAACCACACGGCTCCGTCCACCTATCGGCCCCGAGTTAACGTAGAAATCACGCACACGCACGTACCCACACCCTGCATGCGGCAGCACTACAAAGGACACCTTAAATGATCTCGCCAGTGTCATATTGTGTAATCTCGGTGACGTTCAGTGGGGAAAGGTTAAGCAATTTGGCGTGCTTTTTACGTGAAAATGGCGCCCGTTGCTGCTAACCCACCCCATTATACTGCCCTACAACCAACTGGGGAAAGAGAGTTGAGTGTTTTGCCCAACGTAAATGTCGCATAATGACATACATTGCATGTTATTTCTGTTTTGTCAAAGAGTAGTTAATATTCCACTGCAAAGCAGTAGAAACCTCGCTCTAACCTTGTCACAGCGGCTAGCATCCAGTAGGTACTTAGAGGTTGGATGTCAAGAGGCACCAGTTCCCAACATGGGCACGATTAAACACATTCACACCGTTGACAGTCACCCAAAAGCCCTCGGTTCTTACTTTAACATTGACTGTTCCTTCGCTTCCTCCTTCTTCTGTCGGTCTATGACGCCGAGGATGATCTTCCTCTCCTCCTCCGTGAGGTGGCTGAGGTCCGGCATCTCCGGCATGGCGCCTGCCGCTGAGGCAGCAGCGGCAGCGGGACCAGGGCCAGGGCCGCCCCGGGGCCCGTGTGGAGCAGACATCTTTTACACACGCTTGCTACAAAACGAGAAAAATACTATCAAAGTTGCAGCAGAATTGGGGAAGACAATTCAGTGTATATAGTTTGCACTGGGGGCATGACATCTTCCTTATAGGATGCACACAAGCCAGCCCGTGCTGCATAAATCATCAAAATGTGTTTATGGGGTTGTCAGATGGTTTCACCGCAGAGGATTTCGCATTATTTAAGCTGTTGCAGGTTGATACTCTACATTTACACATCAAACTACGCCTCAACAAATGGACTGAAAGCAATAGCAGGGTGCACAGGCTGCAGGTTACAACCTTCAGGTATATTCCCAACACAAACATCCAGCGGCCAGTGGTAGGATTAAAAATAGGTCTTGCCTTTTATTTTGCAGTCATGTTAAATCCTGTCTAACCCATCGCTGCCATCCTTTAGAAAGGGTTTCCTCGCATGGTGGGAATAAAAGATGCCCCGTCCGCCCTTGTTTTGTTTTGGAGTCCTTAACCCTCCTCTTCCACTCTGGTTAGCTCGCTTTCCTCCAGGTTCGTAATTCTTGGTGATTTCTTAAATGCACAAAAATGGATGCAATGAGAGAGAGGGGAGAGAGGGGAGAGAGAGGAAAAAATCCAGATAGGAAGAAGGGGAGGAGCTCTGGAAACACGTAGAAGAATAAACGGGAGCTGGTGAAGGGGAGAGGACGCGCTGGCTGTTCATTGACAGCAGGCGCATAGCAGCCGCAAAACACGGACTGGAGGGCCGCGCGTGCAGCTGGAGTGAACTACACTGTTACAGGAAAAGCATCATCCATATTTCATTAGAGGATCACGAGCGCCATGAAAGGACCAATATAAAGTGGCAAGATAAATACTGAAAATGACTAACCCCAAGTGAGACTGGTTTTCCTGTCACAAAGCTTCCTGGAAGTATTTCATTTTTCTAAGTTTCAGAAAATGGGGACATATGCTTTTGATTGGTAAGTAGTATAGGGATAGGAAGTAACCGATCCAAAAAAAACCCCCAAAAAACATAGGTAATACACCCAACAACATTGTACTAGTTGATAATGTCAAAGTCAGAATCAAATCTGATAGACTTCCATTGATGCTATTGTCACTTTGGTCCTGCCAGGTCTGAGTGAGATCTCTTCGGCCGCAGCGCTGATAGGATTTGAACGTCAACATTAAGAGGATAGAGCATACCTCATTAGTGCTATGTCTGAGTAAATTAGCACTGATGCAAATCATCTGCAGTTCAAACAGAAAGGAGCAGTTTGGCAAAAAAAAAACAAAAAAAAACCAAAAAATAAATAAATAAATAAATACACTTCATCCCAAAATTCATACATTTTTGAATGTTTGGTTTATTTTCAGAATTTCACAAATGTTGAAGAAAAAGCATATTTATGGGGATTTCGGGTCATCTCTCAAAGGAAAAAAGGTATTAGATTACAGAAAACTAGTAATTTATAAAAGGAATATACCATTCTTTTCTTCAGTTATCTTCCATGCTCTTCTTTTCAACTGATAAAATTAATCCAACTTAATTTAATATGTTCTTGTTAGAGCGGTTTGTAAATACAATGCACAATGTATCCTTAACATCTGGACATATTTTCTTCCATGATTAGAAGGATACAGGAAAACTAGCAGAGACGTTTTCCAGTATGTCCAGACAGCAGAAGCCACTGGTCCAAAGTTACAATAGCACAATGTCTATTTGACAACAGTCACCACATGCTTCTCCCTCTCTGTGGTCACTGGGACAGATCCTGGTTTGCTGTGCTTGCGGACGTTTCTCTCCCTAGATGAAAAGCAAAAGAATCAACCATTAGGCATTTATTTTCATTTGAAGATATAGAGGACAGAGGGCGAGACAAGCAAACATGAGAGGGGTGGGGGAAGTGGTTAGACTGTTGACCTAACACCTACGTCACTGCCTACACTAATGTACCCAGAAAATAATGCATAAAGCAGAGATAGTAAATCACACCTAGGCCAAACACAGCTTTAAGCTTTCACAATACTGTCAGTAATTACACAAACAATCCCAGACTGAGCCATGAATCACTGGACGGCAGGGTGAACTGAGACAATCAATCCACCATACAAGCTGGAGCAATGACTATGTAAGACCTACAGAGACTGTGTCATGGGGGAAGGTTAGTCTGGGAAATTTTCCATTAGGGAACCCTAATTATTCCAGTTGCAAACATGTCCAAAAAAGATAAGAGAAGTGGGTTTGAGGAAAGGAGGGCTTTGGTAAGTAAGAGTAACTGATACATACTTTCTGCGGCGAGCCTCCCTCATAACTCTCAGCTCCTTGGACTGGTGGTACACTGTCTTTGGAAGGTGTCGGTGACGGGCAATACGTTTGATCTGAGGGTGATGCTGAAACTTCTCTTTCAGCTTCTGGTTGTAGTTTGTAGCTGCTCTTTCTCGGTGCGCCAGCTGTAGGTCAGACAAAAGAAGAAAAAATAGTTATGAATGAACAGTTTCATGGTATCAGTCTTATTATTTTCCAGATGTGAACATTTAAAGTATATTAGTGTCATATACATAACTGCACCTACCAACTACAAGAATGTACAACAGAAAGTCTCATTCTTGTTGAAAAAAATAAGTATTGGTCTGTATCACTTGTAAATATTCAATCCACGATGTAAACAAAATTTAAAATAAAATTATAAAGTAAGGAAACAAACACAAGGCTGTAATGTATAGCTATATATTCCTTACACATAAACTTACTATGGAGATGAGTCAGGGGTGGGATGTGTAATTTACAGGTCACACATACTGTGACTGTAAGTGACATGAATCACCACTGGTGAAGCAATTATTATTATTTTTTTCTTCCTAGTTTAAAGAATCAACTGTGGTCATCATTCAAAAGCTGAATGCAGGAGACCAGTAATGTTGTTACTTCAACTACAGTCAAAAACAAATTAGTAGTAGTTGAACCAGGTCAGTGCTAAATGTTCTTTTAAGCATAGAACAATTGTAAAGAGCTTTACTATATGATAAGTAATTTGCATTTAAAAGATTTATGCATTGTTAGAAAAGAGTTCAGCAGCCTGATGGAAAGACTTCAATTATGACTCCAATAATATTTCCGGACAGATTTCCACATTATGCTGTCTCAACACTGGCGTGCAGCACAGTGACCTACTCATCAAAACTGAATCAATGTCTGTTAAAAGTGAAGACACCAGCTCAACATCATCCCGTTCTGTCCATTCACTCATAACCCCCGCCCTCGGCTCCTTGGCTCGGACTGCTCCGCTTGAAGGCTTTTATTCTAATTAAAAGCAATGATTTGTCGGAGATTCAATTTACTGGGGGAAGATGTTAGATGCTGATCTTATTGCAGTAGACATTTCCCCTGAATATATACTTGTGGCTAGTCCGCTAACTCCGAAGAAAACATTATGTCCAATATTTGAAAAACAAAGAGGGACGCAGTAAGGAGTGTGTAGTGTGCCATTAACATACAATGAATTTTGAACATATCATAAAAATTTAAAAGTAATGATTTTTTTTATTTTATTTTAACTAAGATAATGACTTGGAACAATAATTTTTGTTTATACTGACATTCAGCACAAGCATACAGTAGTGTCCTTTCATTTTGGTCTAGAAACATTTGAATCAATTATGTCAGAAGTTACTGACTGGTTTGAAAGCACAACCCTTAAGGAAAAATAATAGCTAGCCTTTCTGTGCACCAAACAAGCTGATTCAACATGTCTCTGGGAAATTAAGTCTGATAAAGCATATGACAATCCCCATTTGAGATCCAGTCACATGAGTGTGATGTTTGACAAAGCTTTGAATCGGCACCTCAGCAATTCTTTATAATTAAAGACCCTTTTCAGTTCAACTTGATTGTTAATGTTTCATTATGCTTGGTGTAGCTTGCTTTAAGTGATTGGCCGATTCAAACTGCTGATAGGAGCAGGGCTTGTCTGATCTCTTTAAGTGCAATGCTTGCACATAAATCTCCTCTTGAGGAGTGACAGTAAAACAAGTGCCAAAAGCAGTCCAGATTTCCACTCTGAAGCTGCATTAGGGGAATAAGTGTGAGGGAATCTAGGGATGAAAAATGGCTTTTGAGATGGCACAGAAGATGTTTGAGATCTTTATTATTCAGTCATAACTGCTATTTGGAACACTGGAACAGTTCCCAGCAATTTATAGGATGTAAAACTCAGGATGTAGTGTACAGCTGGGCAGGAAATACTGCCAGGGCCATTATTTATAACAATTCAACCTTAAACAAGCAATAATATAGTAAATCAAGCAGTGGGGTTTCCCAGAAATCCCCAGGAGTTTTCAGTATATTGGTAAACACACCCAACAGCCACTGTCTTTTCATTCTAGTTCAACTTGGCATTTATGCTGTGGAGCCAGTTGGTACATTGTACTTATTGAGAGTGATTCCACCTCAAGTCAGCATCCATCACCGCATTTGGCAAGTGTACTGGCTACCTCCTGGCACAGTTACCCACATTCAACAGTGCCTATGTAGACAAAAAGCCACTGCCGTGTTAAAGAAGTGACGCTAAATGCCAGAGGAAGATGACACTTTGGCCCTGAAATGTTTTATTCGGTAAATGAAAAGAGCAGTGAACTTACCACTCCAAGTTTCTCTGAGGCATTGGCTTTCCATAGTCGAATGTTCATCTCATCTGAACCGCTTAAAATGTATTTGTTGTCTGCAGACCATTTAATGCAAATAACATGCTGCATGCGCTTGGTATGATAGACCTCTCTGGAGAAGATAAAACAAAGTTTAAATGAGAAACATGTCTGAAACATGAATAAGCATAAACTAAATTCATATCCATTCTTTGCCTATAGAATAGACTAGAATTCTCTTGTGAGGTTCAGATCAACGCTAACCTGCTGTGGCCTCCATTTTTGGGGAAGATGCGAATGGTTTTGTCAAAACTGGCTGATACAAACTCTTTTCCTGTTGGTGAAAAGTCAATGTCCAGAACAGCAGAAACATGGTCCATGTGCACCATGACCGGCTGTTCCAGGTTCCTCATGTCATAAGTGTAGAGACTAAAAAGAAGCACCAAAATATATATTTAAATAGTTAAACAAAAAACATCACTATGCTCACAATACTCTTGTATTGTATGTTCACTTACTTATAGTCTTCATTTGCACAGGTGAAGTAGTATGCTTCCATAGGGTTCCAGCAGAGTGTGTTACTTCTCATTGTCATTACAACCTGTTGGAACAAGTGCATATTAAAAAAAGACAATGACATTGGTCAAGCAATGGCTGAATGTGCATTATACCTTTTTGAGTGGAGTTGCTTCCCTCATGTCATAAAGCACTATACTTCTATCAGAAGCACAGCTTGCGAGCAGCTCAGTCTGTTGGTAAAAAGTTAACGAAACAAAATTTTGAATGAAACAAGTCAAATTAAAAATAGCAGTCATTTTTATTATTACCTCCACGGGGTTAAAACGAACACAGCTGAAGCTGTCCACACCCCAGGTAAAAGAGCGGATAGGACTGCTCCTCTGCTCATCCCAGATGTCCACCTGCTGGCCACATGTTGCAAACACACCTTCCTGTCTGTGATGGTCCAGTCCTGTGAATACAGTCTGGAGAAATGCACCCCTTTCATCAAACCCATAGGAATATCAGATATGTAATGAAATCTAATGTGAAAAGGGAACCATACTTTTCCAAGAATAGTGTTCAGTGGTTCCTCTTCTTCACCGAATTCTGGACATTGCATTTTCCACTGTTTGATTGTTTTGTCATCGCCAACCTGCATTAAAAGGAAAATTGCTTGACTGTATGTTTAGACCTGCCGTAGCTACCGTATCTGGTATGCACTTACACTGAAAAAAGATGTCCCACAAAACCGAACAACTATTCCTCGAACAAACCCTTCATGCGCTTGTATTGTTCGGACACATTCTCGTTTTGTCAAGTTCCAGATTTTCAACTAGAACAAAACGGGCAAAGTTGATTACTATACGTAGTAAGATAACAATGTAAACATACAGATTATTTAGAATCCTATTGAGTGAAGTTTTTAATGAAGTTGTAACTTCAAACAAAAACCATAGACCATAACCATTTCATAGTTGTAATGGTCCCACATCATCATTAAAGTAAAAACCTCAACACAAACTGCTGCCCGGATGTTACCAAAAATAAAGATTTTGTCATTGTGAAGCCAGCACGTTTCCAGCTCTCTATCAAGAGCTGGTTGGATAGTGCGAAGAGCAAAATTTTCAGATGGACAAACATCACAGCAGCCTTCTAAAGCTCTGTCTGGCCTATATTCTGATTTTAAGTTTAATCAAATATAGGAATAAAATTTATTTAACCACATGTATTCATACATACCCACATAAAACTATTATATGAAGTATATGAATGGGTCACTTTTAGAGCTATAACTCCTCTAAAACAAGATTCTAAACCTCAGTGGAAATATGCCAGTTAAATAAATAACCAGTAATAAGCAGTAATAAATAAAGGCAAAATATACCTCTCCATCACAGGAGCCAGACAGTAAACTGGACAGACGGGTGGTGTGTTTTGCCATGCAGTTTACTCCATCTCGGTGTCCATCCAAAGATGCCAGAAAAGGCTTAGCAAAAACTCTATCCAACTTGGTGGCATTTAGAGCCCTTGTGTATTCTCTGTTGACTTCAAATGGATGAAGGCTGGGGTCATAGTTTCTAGGAACTGCAGACAGAAAAGAGTTCAATAACTCACCACGCGTCATAATCATAAATGATCATAGTGAATTTAACAATAATAAATCATAAATTTAACAAATTGTAAATCAAAGGCTACATCAGAATCCATAATCTGTTAGTAGCCTATATAATAACAAGGCCAGCATCTTCTTTATAGATCAGACTCAGTAATCGAGGAATCAAGGTACATTATAGACACTGGCAAGCTTATTTATATACCACTAATGCATTCTTATCCATGCACATGCAGCTTCGTCGACAGTTTTTAGCCCGCTGTTTAGCTGAAAAAACTGTTAACATTAATCGCAGTCCACTTACCACGCTGAATATCATATTTGGTCTCCCGAACATAATCGTCCGGATTCCGCGACAGAACTTTAACTTTCATTTGGAAATAAAGATACTCGACAATACAATAGGTTTAGTCGATTTAAGAGTGTAATACAAAAATCAGCAGCGATGTGAAAACAAACTACCATGTGTTTTAGAAGAGGAGGAGCTTCATCGGGGTGCATTGTGGGATGCACAGTCCTCCAAGCCGTTTTTAATAAAGTTACAAAATATAGCCACACTAAAATCCGGACAAAGACAGCTTTTTAATGTGTCTCATCTCCACTGAAATATACATAGTGTTAATCAACAGATGTACAGTCCATTGTTTAAAATCATATGCAAACATTATGCAAATCTTCTAAGAACATAACATGTTTTAAGCGGTGTGAAGCATAGACTGCTTGAACGTGCGTTTATAGTGAAGGTTTCTGGCGGATGTAGTTGTTGGTGTAAAACTTTATTGGGAGAAAGGTCAGCAGCTGAAGCTTGACATTTGAGCATGGGGTCTCTGGCCGCTGTATATTCACAGAGTGGCTCATGTCAAAAACGTGGCTCACACAATATGTGTTGCCCGTGGGGAAACGGCAAGATCGTGGGATAATTATGGGTTATGTTTATGATTACTGACGTCTGTGTTATTATCCAAGTGTCTAAGTATCTTTCTTGTTTTGTAAATAACGCTAGCTGAAGCTAGCTTGTGTAACTTGGTGTAAACATGAGTTCTGCTTCAAACCCTGGCGATGTGACTGTCCCCGAGGCTGCACTGACCGGGAAGGCGGCCCCCTCCGTGTCTGTAGCCGGACACCTCCAGCAGGTTTTCAGTCATGTGAAGGTGGGGAACTTGGTTGCAGGGCTCAGTGGTGGAGTGGTGTCAACTCTGGTTCTTCATCCACTGGACTTGGTCAAAATCAGATTTGCAGGTATGTCCAAAACAGTTTGCTTACAAATGGTGAATGTCAAAATGTGTACGGCTACACAATTCATTGATCACCATTCTTATGTTATTAAAAATACTAGCCATGTGTCTGCTTTACCAGCAATTCTTAGACTAGTGCTTTTGACTTGACTGCCATATTGAGTGATCTTGTGAATGAATCCAGTGGAGCCTCCCGGTAGCCTATTTGGAGACATTGTCTCTGCGTGGTCCTGGTGGCTAAATAATGAAAATGTATAGGCCTAATTAGTAAGCATGACCAGACCCATGGTTTAAATAATGTAATCAAGGCTGTGTCTAAACAAGAAGTTGTCAGATCCTTAGGGTTGTGTAGAAACTCTGAACCACAACTCTTCTTAAGATAAGCCTAATTCCTACATTGATGCATTAGCCATCAGGTGTTCTCCCTTATTTTATATAAAAGCTGTTCAGTTGTAAGAAAAAGCAAAAGCTAATTAATTCTTCATGCATTAGTTTAAAAAGTCTAAGTTTATTTGGCAGGGTTTAATCAAACATTTTTAAAGAATGTGTGAATTTTGATTGCCTTGCCCTTAAACTAGTTCACCTTTTGTTTTTCCTGAAAAATGTTAGGTCCCAGCCAACACTGAGCACTTTAAACAATACTGACTACTTACACATATAAACTTCTGTTTTTATTAACTTGTTAATTGTTGTCTACTTTGCAGTCAGTGATGGCTTGGAGCTTAGACCAAAGTACAGTGGTATCTTTCACTGTATGAGGAGTGTGTGGAAGCAGGAGGGACTCAGAGGACTTTATCAAGGTGTGACCCCTAATGTCTGGGGTGCTGGAGCATCCTGGGGTCTTTACTTCTTCTTGTATGTGAACTGCTTTATCTCTAAAATTAAATATTTACACAGTCATTAGCAAATAAATGAAATGTATAACTTGCAATGTTAAAATCAGACTAATTTTACAGCTACAATGCAATAAAAGGCTACACAAAAGAAGGACGTCAGACTGAGTTGAGCGCAACAGAGCACTTAGTATCGGCAGCTGAAGCAGGTCGGTACTGCACTAAACCAGTTCTGTTGACCATAAAACTAGACACACAGTGGACTCTTTGTTGTGTTCCAGCAATTTACTAACTTCACATGTTTCTGATTAAACGTTCTTGTTGCTTAGGTATCCTGACTCTCACCATAACCAATCCTATATGGGTGACCAAAACTCGACTGGTGCTGCAGTACGATGCAGGGTCATCAGGGAAACAGTACAAGGGAATGGTGGATGCCCTGGTTAAGATATATCGCCATGAGGGACTCCCAGGGTTGTACAAGGTTAGGTTACACATATGCCTCTTTCTACATGCCATAATCATATCTGTTGCCTCATTCTCTTGACATGATATTTGAGACAGAGGCCACTAGATGTCACTATAATTTCAAATGTTGCACAAAAGTATGTTGTGCAGTTTTTCTTTGTAGGGTAGGGCATCATAACAAGTAGGCTATACTGTCTCTGATTTAACTTATTATGCTAGTTAATTGAAGTAATTTAAACGAAAATAGAATTAACCAAGTTTAACTTTCAAAGAAAACCAAAGAAATTAGTTATTTTGTGATCTCATTCTCTGCAGGGTTATATTCCTGGTTTGTTTGGTACCTCTCATGGCGCACTACAGTTTATGGCCTATGAAGAGCTCAAAAGAGACTACAATAAACACAGGAAGGCACCTTCAGATGCTAAACTGGTGAGTCATTACTTTTATAAGCCTGATAGTGCTTAAGGACGTGTTGTGAAATTCACGATTCATGATTGAATTGTTAAATTCAACAAACTGGTTGCAGTTGATTACTGTAACGTTTACCTTGAAGAAATGAATCATGCGCTTTCCTGTTTCTCTCCTCTCCCTCCTCCTTTTCTCATTTTTGTGTCTTCATCAACAGAGTGCTTTGGAGTATATCACAATGGCAGCATTATCCAAACTATTTGCAGTGGCCACAACATATCCCTATCAGGTGGTGCGTGCTAGGCTTCAGGACCAGCACAATAAATACAATGGAGTTCTTGATGTTGTGAGACGTACATGGAGGTATTGGCAATTAATAAGATTACATTTTGGATAATTCTGGTTTAATATTATTGTAAATTATATATGACATGCCATAGCTATGATGGATAAGGGTTCGTGATTGCAGATATTTTTATGTGTTTTAACAAGGGCTAGTTTTGGATAAAAAAACAGATCAAACAAAACTGACACATTTTGCTCATCTTTTTTCAGAAATGAGGGCGCTTTTGGTTTCTACAAAGGAATTGGTGCCAACTTGATCAGAGTAACTCCAGCGTGTTGCATCACCTTCGTAGTTTATGAAAATGTGTCTCGGCTGCTCATCACTCAGTCTCATTGAGGTTTTTACAGAAAACCAGAGCAGTAGCAACAGACTATGAATGCACATTGTTACAACTAAGCTTTTCATGCATCTGGGTGGAACAAAATGGACTGTGAAACAAAGATGCTTCATAACTGATGAAACGTGTTCAATACATGCAAATGTGCTGATGTGGGATCCTTTCATTTGCACTGTAAGCCAATGAGGAAGATTGCTTGTGATATAACTGTTTGTATTGTCAGTACATTATGAGATGGAGTTTAGAATTTTTTTCTAAAATTCTAAAATTTGTCATTGCATTTTATAGCCATGTTAACATGGACATAACTACTGTCAAGTTTAAAGAGTGATGTACACTATCATTGGAATAGTCTTAGCTTTTTTATGGTTTTACTTAAATTATTGTTTTAAAGTACGAAGTGATATTCACAATGGGGAGAGTTGATTATATCCTAAACAGAGCTACAAGTGTTGTTTTGTTTATGGAAAATAAAATAAAAATTGAGAGTTGCTTAGACAACTGTAAAATAGCAAATTTGTTCACTCATGTCAACATTATATTTAAATTACATAGATTTTTTTCAACTTTTTGTTGATTTTGAAAAAAAATAGGTAAATAATTGAATGGATTCCAAAATGTACAAAATTTTACTTTATTCATCAATCTTTGAAAAAACAGCAACAAAAGTCTTCAAATTAAAGTGTCACCAGAAACAGAGAAAAGCTAAAGTATATGTTTATGGCATACATCAAACATCTGTGTTTATAAGCCTGTCCTCTAGGTTAGCATTTAGACAAACAAAAGGACATTCAAGTTAGTGTGAGTGATACTGGCACTCAACCACACCTTATGACACTGTAATAGCACCACAACTGAAGTCTCTCCTTTCAGTGTTATTTATTCATTTAGGCAGTTCCTCAATAATGATCCTAGATACAGAGTTCCAGCCTGTTGAAGCATCACCCCTGGGATAGTCTGCACAGGTCCCCACCCACACGGCCACATCCACCAGTCCAGATTTCACTCCGTCGCACAGCCCTTCAACTAAAAAAGAAAAGAACAAAAATGCTTTAGCGTTAGGGAACGCCCAAATTGTCTCCTTTGCCCTTATGCACAATTGGTTAACCATGTGATGACTCAGTACCACTACAAAGGCCTTAGTAAAAACTACTGGATTAGCTGAATGTTCCTTATTCATTATTAAACTGTGGGGCTGATGCTTGGTGGAAGTCTGAAATCTTGCCATTCAAAGCCCTGATTCAGTTTAACTTAATTTTATTTGACTTTCTTTGGTAGTCCTTAGAGATTGACCATTAGACCGATATTTGAACTTTTTAGCAGATTGGCTATCGGCTTTAAATATCCAGCACAAGCTGATATTTTATTTTGGCACAAAACAGGGCTACACATATCTCTTATACATTTGCAGTAAAAAGAGCTTGGGTGGAGTTTGTAGTATTATAATTTAGATAAATAGTATTATCATTTAAATGACATAATTTGGACAAAATCACCTCAGAAATCTCAGCCATTGGTTGCACTGCAATCTAACCAACCGGCATCAGCCATAAAAAAAAAAAAAAACATGTCCTGGTTTGTTTCTGTTATGTGCTAGTCCTTTCTGTACTGCTTTAGTTTAGCTTTAGACTGGTTATGGTATAGCATAAGTGATCCCACAGGTTAATAGACTGGTATATCTGATGAGCTGATAAAAGTGTCAATAACAGACAATGTCCTCGTGCATATGTACCTGAGGATGTCCGGTGGATGTTGATGGTTGAATTCAGCTCGGGACTGCCCTGGTCCAGGTAGATGATGGATTCTATGGGAAGAGGCCCAGTGCACTCTGCTCCATTAAAGGTGAAGTACCACCGCTGACAGCAGGCATTCTTACACTTAAGTCTGAGAGATCCACTGAACAGGACCCTCAGAGAGCTGTCAGTGCGCATCTTGGTGAAGGTGCAGTCCTGAAACACAAGAAGTTATTCTAAACTAGTAGTCTAAAAGGTTGAATCATTAAAACTTAAATATTAAAAGGCACGCACAATACAAAATAAGAGTTCTTGTTTTATTTGCCCAATTTCACAACATAATATTGTACAGATTTTGCCAAAAAACTTGGCAGATGGATCACTAACCAGCAATGCCTTGAGAAGGACACCTCAAACATGTCTGTGGCTCTTTTGGCTACCAGTAGTCGGCCAGTCTGCCCAAGAGTATCTATGTCAAGCATTACAATAATTTTGACTTTTTCAACTTACAGATGCATTGTGTAACTTTTCTGGTGGAGGGTCCATTGCTCTTCCTATTAAACAAATCTGCTTTACAGTTATTCAATTATAACTTTTATAGGTCAGAAATAACAAATAATAGCATTCTGACTGTGACTGGGGGTGCCTCTCCACAGATCTGACCAGTAACTTGGTCTGGTTTGGTCTCCATGAAGTCAAAAAGGTTTCCAGACAAAGCAATAGCATTTCCATGGAAAAAAGTATTTGATTACACAATGCACCTTTAACAATAGTAAGGAAGAATTTTGGCAATAAGGAACATATGATATAGCCCAGTTTCACCTTATCATTAGGCAAATTCTAGATACTTACAGCTACTTTGCCCAGGTCAATCCCATAGTTGAGTGAGTTCCAGGCACACTGCTTATAGTTCGGTTTCCATGGCTCCTCAAAGATCTCACTGATGCACTCTCCCTTCTCCCCCTTCAGCCCATCTCGTCCTGGGATACCTGGTGTGCCGGGGATACCATTGGTCCCTGGGTTACCGTCCCGTCCAGGAGTCCCAGATGGACCCTGCATGCAGCTGCCAAACTGGAGAAAAAAGAGGATTCATATTTTCTTATTAGTGAACTTCCTGTGGGGGATTTTCCTGTTGCTGGATTAGACCAGGCAAAAGCAGTGAGTAAGTGAGTGAGTGAGTATTCATTTAAGGAAAGTCCCATTAAACAGTGCTTGTGAGGTATATAAACAAAGCATTCCCTTTGGGCTGACCCTGAGTTTATGAGTGGACATAAATGTGAAAACAGACGTGATCAATTTGAGCTATATGACCAAAAGCACCAACAGCCCATGACTTGGCCATTACTACAATTATTCAACTAATAAAAGTATTTTCAGCTAAATAATGAATGCAACAACTATGCAATACAATATAATAATACACATTCAATTGTGGGGCCAAAAAACAAGGATTTTAAATAGTACTAAGCACTAAGGGGCCAGGACTAAACAAGAGATTTAATTGGCTCTAAAATCTAACATTGAACTGAAAAGACTCTTTAGTACCAATAGAAATAGTACATAAAATCAGTGCTAGTGAACCACTAATACAAGGCCCAAATAATATTAATACTAATTTTTTATGAACTATAATTCATAAAATGTATATAGATCTTTTTGAACACTCAGTGACCCTTAATGGTGAATTGTAGACTTGGTGACAGCTTAAATTAACAGCTGTCTGGCCACACATGTCTGTGTGTGTGATTCATTGTCCCCTATCTCCTGCAGCTATGTTTAAACAGATGCAGCCTTTCAAAAGCTGAGTCAGGAATTTCCAGGGACAACCCATATATAAGACTTTAATCTATTACAGAACAACCCACTCAAAATAGGAAAAAGTCTTTAGCATTTCCCAGTACTTGGATCCATAAGTGAAAAAACGTCTTTTGAGAAAGAATCTTTCAATGTGGCTCTAAAAACAAGGCATAACAGAGTATATTTCCAGCTGATTTAGTAATAATTGTATATTTATTTGCATGCTGTCATCAAACCATACACAGTTCAGTTCACCATTTTGCCCATAAAAGATAAAGCTAAGAAACAAAACATTTTACAGAATGTTTTTAGAGATCCTAACCATAGCCCAAGATAGCTCAGTGTTATTTTATGAGACACTTTTACCAAAACAATACAAAAGTTTATGGCCCTGGATTGGCATTGTGGTCAAGTGACTTATATGAGCCATGCACAGTGCGCTCATTTCCCCAACCAACATGTATCTTTATCTTTGTACAAACACTAAAGGAGTTTTCTTTGTTGGTCTAGATTTGCCCTTTAGCTTGAAATGCAGCTTAGAGATATAATTTTTAAAGAGGTGCAGGCTGACTGAAATAAAACCGATAGAAAAAAAAGACTCCCTAAAACAATATACAATAATTATCCCAATATTTGGAACATTTTTCTGCATCATAGTTGGCATTAGTTGAAAGCCAGGTGGTTTTAACAGATGGTTAAGCAAGAAGCCAGAGTTCTGTTTTATCCATTAGGTGGACATCCTGACATCATCTAGTAAAACGAGACGCTGGATGGGACAAGCAGAAAGGCAGCAGACAGTGAGTTAAAAGGCATGACCTAGTGACCAAATGCAGAAGCTCCTTATATTTGATTCTCCTTCGGGATCAATAAAATATCCATCTATCATCTATCATATTTCATGGTTAGCATTGGCTGATACTTGAAAGCATTAACAGTATATGTGATGAGCTTTTTAAATTTCAAAAATTAGAATAATTCATGTTTAATTTGGTTCTACTGTATATATTTTGATTATTTTTTTGTCAGAATGCTCAAATAGTGCTAATATTTTTTGTGTATTTTACCACCAAATGCAGTCCAATGATTTAGTGGCTCACGGAAAAGAATCTCTTAACTGCTTTACCAGTCTATGATATAGGACCAGTTGGCTGAAGATATGTAATTCTTATTTTCTTATTATGTGTATTTTTACCTCCACCAAGGAAGTTATGTTTTTGCCGGCGTTTGTCTGTTTGTTTGTTTGTTTGTTTGTTTGTCTGTTAGCAACATAACTCAAAAAGTTATGGACCGATTTTGATGAAATTTTCAGGGTTTGTTGGAAATGTGAAAAGGAAGAACTGATTTCATTTTGGGGGTGATCTGGAAGAAATCCTGGATTCTGGATCACTTTGAAATTTGAGTTAACATTGTGGTAAATGGGGCCAAAAATGTTGTTTCTCAATATCTCGGTTAATTATTGACCAAACCCCATGAAATTTGACTCAGGGATGGACAATCGGATCCTTTTTCACATTCCAAATTGAAAGATACGAGACAAATATTTATGGAAAACACAATTAATATGAGGGGGACTGTAGTCCTTGGCGGAGGTCTGCGCTCTCTGAGTGCTTTTCTAGTTCTACATATTTTACTGCTCTCTGTTTGCCTCTGTGCGCAGTGATTAGCATATTATGTTGAATTTTACACCAATGCCCTACTTCCAAATCCTCTAAATTTATCTAGGCTTGAGACTGTCTGGTGAATCCATAGTTGGATTCAGGGAGTACTGTATATGATTTGTAAAATGTGTAGTTTTATTGAGTGTCAAACAGCTTTCATAGTATGGGTTAGTGAAAGGAGCCTCTGTCCACTAAACCACACTGCTCACGCTCATATTAGCTCCCAGTTTGGATTTTTCTGAGCTGACTGCATGAATTACTCTCCAACTCTATGGATATTAGCAGCAGCACAGTCCATTACTGTAAATGTGATATAAAAGCAGCCCCGTAGTGCTCAGAAGGCAGCAAGAGTATTTCATGCATAAATCGACATCAAAGCATAGACACAAGCACAGCAGGACACTTTATATGCATGGCGGCTATGGAGCAGTTGGACAGTCCCAGGGGAGTTCAAAGAGGCATTTTACCATGTTTTTTGAATTTCTTCCTTCTTCTGAGTGTCTGGTGCAGTTGGGCTTTTCTGCATCATTTCCAGAGCACTGTATGAGTATAAAATAGTAACACAAGAAACTATTCACTCTGTTGTTTTCATATAGGATCGAAGTTGGGAAATGGGTTACAACAGGTAAACACAAGGTTCCCTCCAAATGTTATCTGATGAAGTCCTGTGGGCACTCGGGTCTACTAGCAAAATAAACAGCAGTTTCACTTTCATTTGGTTCCCAGGAGAATTGGGACAACGGCCCCCTTCATACCATCCTTAAGGTTATGCAATTTAAAGCAAATATATATTTTTTACTTAACACTGATTTGAGAGCCATAAAGATCATAAATGGTGCAGAACATAGGCTGGATTGTGGCACTGGCTACATTAAAACAGCAGTTCAACCTTTTCATTAGATTGGTGGATTAAGACAAAAGTATAGACAGTGACCTAACCACTTCCTGTTTGGAATAGCGTAAGCCTTCATTAGTGGGCACCTATAATTTGAAAGTGTCCTCTCTCATCCTAGGGTAATATTTGGAAATTGTCCCCAATTTTCTTTTCAAAGTAGACTTTATAAGTGCCATGATGGAAAGTCATCCGGTTTAAATTAATGGCAGTGACAGACAAGTAGAAAATTAGTCACGTGGCAGCTTAACTGGCACAAATTGCACACGGCACAAATAATGCGTTTTGAATTAGTTATGCGACAAAGGCAATAAAACGTACCTTATCTGCGTCAGGATCCTTTCGGTATCCTCTATTTCTCACCTTTTCCACGCCATAAAGCGGCAAAGCCAAGCAAATGAGTAGCAGCAGGCGGGCAACTAACGGAGACATTATAATAACCGGGCTTCTGTGCGCTACTCTGAAGGATCTGAGGCGGCAGTTTGACTCCAATACTAACCACTTTTTTAAGCTGAGAGGAGGACTGGAGGAGGAGGCAGGAGTTTGCAGAGAGGGGGAAGCACCGGTGCTGTGTCAAATAAAGTTTAGACAAAGAGCAGGCGGTGCGGGAAGCTTCTCAAGATTTAGGCACGTGCATTGACACCAGATAAATAGAAAATAATGACGATTTATTTGTATAAAATGAAACGGTACAACATAATTATACAATATATTGCTTAGACAAACCAATGAGGTTTTGATATACAATGACACTTATAATAAACTTTCCCTTTTAAGAAGTGTTGATGCTCACATACTATGGAATAGAAATAGGAATCCCGTGAACAACATTATAGACAGTAGCTTCAACATGAAAAAATACAGATGATTAGAGACAGAAATAAATCTGTCAATGCTTAAAAGATGCAAGGTCTGTATATATAACACACCCAACAATAAGCCACAATTATTATTTAACCCACTCTTTGTGCTTCTAAAAATATAGTGCAACGCCAATAAGACATTTCATAATGAAAACCATCACACCAACAGCACTCATCCCAAACAAAGAATAATTAAAGAGGTCATGCTTAACCAAAGGCGTTATAAAAAAGTTACATAATACAGATTCACAGGGAAAAAGTTTGAGACAGTCTTAGAAAGAACAGAAAACAATGCATCACAATATTCAATAACTCGACAAAAACAGTGTCTTTTCTAAACAATATCAAACTACAGGCTCTGTATCATTAAGCATTCAAAACCATAGGTCACAGAAGGACTTGCAGCATTACATTTGGCATGACCTTTAAAAGTGAAATGTCCAGTGTTAAGACTAGTCCAGTTAAACTAAATGTCTTCTATAAGTTAAAAATTGTCCAAATATACCATTCAAATATGCCTGGTATGTTACAATAAGACAGCAGTGGCATGATGTATTACCTGACATATACTGGGGCTAATAAATCATCTGTTTGAGTCTGAAAGACATATGGACACTTAAGTTGAAACAGGTTCATGGTGAGAGAGTCGTATTTTTCAGCAGTTCATGTCTTTTGTCTCCTTGCTCTCCTCAGGATCCTTGTGCACCAGTTGGATTTGGCTGGAGTCCTGGAGGGTGCTGCTATGGGAGAGATTTAAAGCTGGATGCTGGACTGGGGAAATCCTCTTGGCGTCAGAGTGGTCACTTCTAGGAGTATTCCTAAAAATAAAAACACTTCGTGTTGATAATGTGTTCACTGGTATTATGTAAACAGTAGGAAACGATTGATTGCGTTAAGATGTAAATGTCACTCTAGAATTGCAAGGCTGTTATTTCATAAATCAACTGGAAATCTTATATTCCTTATTAATTTCACATACTGAAGTATGTGTTAGTAATGGTTAGAAACAATACACCTTGACAACCGTTTTAAGTTCTATAGAAAGTTACAGAGACACATGAGGGCAACAGGGTCATAGCAGGGTAAGACTGGGTAAGTAAGTAAATACAGGCAAGTACAGGCAAGTAGTTCAATAAGTAACCTTTTAAAATTAAAATATGCTTCTTCAGCAACAATAGGCACCATTCATTTGATTTAATCCTAACGCTAATGCACAAGTATTAGTGTATTCAACAACTACAGACATTTAAAATGCAGTCACATGTTCATTAAAACGTAATCAAAATGTTTCACCTCATAAAATTTTACTTGCCTTCCATCACCCACTCTGGCTAAGCTGTCTGACAGGCTGCTGACTTTGCCGGAGCTGCTTCCTTTACTGCGTCTCTCCACCCCGTCCCTCTCTCGTTCCCTCTCTCTGTCTCTGTCCCGACGTGAACTCCGGCTGGACACTCCCCTCTCCAAGTGCTCCCTGACTGATGCCTCAGAATGGGAGCCTTGAGGTGGGTGGGCATGAGGGGACAGTGCTGGGCCTTGGTTTGTGCCCACAGAGACAGAGGGGCTGGTGGGTACTCCTCCAGTGCTCGTGCCCATAGATTTAGAGACCACCTTGAGTTTGTGAGCACCTGATTTGTAGTGCTTTTTCTTGTGCTGGACACGGCTGTTGTGCTTTAGGAAAAACTCACAGGATTCTTGAAGAACGCGACGGCTCTCACTGATGGGACTGTGGGCCAAAAAGGTACATAATAGGCATATTTCACATAAGCCATACTGGGCAAATTAGTATGCAATGTTTAAACTTGGGAAAAATGCTCTTACTCTCTCTTGCGTGTCCTATTGAAAAAGTAGGCCCACTCAGAGCAGGTCTTTTTGCTGCTGACCCAGAACACTGAAGAGATCCCCACCACTAATGTCATCAAGTACTTCACCAGAAACAAGGTCAGGTCTGGGTGCTCGGGCTCTACTTCCTGTATGGGAAAACAATGAGTTATGATATAATAGTCATCATAATAAAAATGCTTTTATTAGGGCAAAATTATAGTTACATAACACAATTAGCAAAACTGAATGCGTAAAGGGTCTATGTTACGTTATTTCTGATCAATGTTATAATGTTGTTTTCCCTATCTTTAAAGAGTTCAGTAAAAGGTAACTGTTAACTTGAAAACTACCACTACATGACATCACAAGGTGGAAAATCATTTGTGAATGGAACCAAACACAACTCCGGGTATGTTTTTGCGGACACCACATTATAATATGGCTTTGAATCAGTTTTGTGTAATATATATAGCTTTAATGAGCATAAAAGGAAATAAATCAAATTTCAAAATCAAAATGACATTATTATTTTCAAACATCAAGTGGCCCTAGTTGTTATTGCTAAAAGTGTGTACCTTGGATGGGCAGGGGATGCTGTACTTCTGACAGTTTTCTCTGAGCCATGTTGCCTCCCACTTGCTCCTGTAGCTTTGCTCATAGGTGTAACAGCCCAATAGTGTGACCAGTGGCACCAGATACAGGCAGCTGAACACACCGATTCGAATCATAAACTTCTTCAACTTCTCCTGATTTCTCTCATCGTGCTGAATCACCTGCCGCACGTGGTTAAGGGAGACAATACCAGCCAGGATAAGGCAGAGTCCTACCAAAACACCCACACACAGAGGGGCCAGGACAAAGTAGCGGAGAGCGTCCAAATCGTAAAGACCCACGAAGCAAACGCCACTAATGTTGTCGCCCTCAACTTTATTTAGAGCCAAAAGCATGACAGTCAGAGCACCAGGGATTCCCCATGCAGCTGAATGGAACCACACCTACACAAAAACAAAATGTACAATTATTAGTTCATATTCTGTTGTCACTTTGTATTATTCAAAGTAGAAAAAAGAAAATGTGAAAGTATTCTTTAGGTTTTAATTTTAATCTCAATCCTGGTCATGCATAATATTGATCAGGTGTTTTTGTTAATTTAGACTTTAGCTGTCTCTAATAAAATCCCAAATGCCTATATATGATTGAAGATGTATGCAATATTAGATTCAATTCAATAGGCAAAGGCTATACTTCAAATTTTGCTTTATTTTGAGGTTTAAATTCTGGCCTTCATTTCAGTTTAAATGTACAAAATAGCAGTTAAACTTTGTGTGTGAACTGATTCTATACTATGATTGTGATTTTGACCATTATCAGACCTCTAGTAAGATCGTATTTAAGTTAAATTTACCGCTTTTTTCTCAATGGCTTCACAGCTCCACTTGGGTCCAGCTGCCAGGAACCAGGTGATGGTGAGAATGACCCACCAGACGACACCGGCGATAGTAAAGAAGTAGAGCAACATGAAGATCAGAGTGCATCCTTTACTCTGGGATCCAAGGACCACAGTAAACATGCCTGTTGGGTGAAAGGGCTCGGTGCAGGCTGCTTTGTTCCCCAGTAGGAATCCAATGAAGTATATTAATGATATAAAACTATAGCAGACTGCGTAGAAAATAATCGGCCGCTCCGGATATCGAAAACGCTTGACATCAATGAGGAAGGTGAGGAAAGTAAACAGTGTAGCTCCAAGACAAATGATTGAGCACACACCGATGAAGCTCTTTGCGAAGTCTATGTCATGTGGTTTGAAATACATGTTGGAGCAAGGTGGTGCACAGTCCTGGGCTCCTAAAAAAGACGATCCAAAACCTGATTTGGTCTTGAACTGCAGCGGACACCAAAAGCCAAGGTCTCTCTTTGCTGCAGAGGATTTCATTGGAGTGGTGGCTTGTAATGAGGAGTCTGTGTCGGGTATACCACATAAAGGCAATCTAAAGCAAAAAACAGAAAAATCTTAAGATCATTTTCGTTTCTATAGTAACTACTTCAGACTGCATTCTCTTGTTCCTGTTTTCTTTGACATATACCTTAAAAACTTATTGAGCTACCCTTCAGATTTAGGTTGTCAAATGTGTAGATACCCAGATGCAAATCAATACCAAAACTGTTAAAACTAGATACTCATGTGACCAAGTTTTGATAAGGCAAAAAAAAAAAAATCACTTAAACAGGACAAAACTGGATCTTGCGTGAATAGTTTTCAAATGGTCTTAATCAATGTCAGAGCAAGTACTAGACCACATGGTAATATTAAAGTAAGTACTATTATTATGTGTCAAGCCTTTTCCTTAGTATCAAAATCAAAAATATTGTGACAGTCCTTCAGGTATAATTCTTTGAAATGCCATGCTCTCACTTGTCACACTGTAGCTCAGGAGGCCAGGTGATGCCGAAAACACGGATGTTCTCTGCACAGTCGGATAGCACTGTCTTGCACTCCTCCCTGCAGGGACCAAACACGTTGTTTTCCTCGATGCACGAGGGATAAAAGGCCTTGCACAGGAAGTGGTGCACATCTGGAGAACAGTGCAGCTTTGCCAACGGCATAAAAGGCTGTGGAAAGACAAGAGACTACAGATGAAATCATGGTTGAATTATAACATGTATGTCTGAAATACAACATTGCTTGTGACATTTTATTGCAACAGAATAAAAGAATTAAGTTAGTACAAAGAGAAAAACATTTGATGCATATTTCTAACTGAATACGGCATGTTTTGTACTCCTCTGTGCTGTCCAGTGTAACTGATACACCAATATTCACTCAGTATGTGATATGTGTACAGTGAAGACATTTTCATATCCAACTCACAATAGTCAGATTTTTGAGCAGATGATGAGCTGGGGTGCTCCATAGCGCCACACAAAGGGCCCATTCACTGCAGAGGAAGCACACTCTTCCGTTTCAACACATCGCTCAAGAAATCCACAAATGGGAGGGGAGCAGAGGCAGGAAATGAGTGTGTGGACATTTGGAAACACACAGTGACAGAGCAGAGACACTGGGATCATGTTGTTGGTTTTCCACGGATGGAACAATAAGGGCCTATATGTGGGGACCATAGACTGTATAGTGGGAACTCATGACTACTTTTACAAACTAGAATGTTGAAAATTGTTCTTTATTTCTGTTAGGTTCACATAACTCTCATGATCTTAAATATGCTGTGACTTTTGGCATACTCTTATTGGTCTGCACATGAATATTTATTGTAGAACTACGTTTGTAGTTGTAGCAATAATGTTAAGCAATTTTTCAACATCCACGTATTTGCTTTTATTAATAACACTGGTGTTGATAAACTCAGCTCCTCATAACTTAGAGCATGACAGGGGCGGATCAATTGAGGAATGGGTAGGAACTAAACAACTGTCTATAATTTTAAGTCTGATTTCTAATAATCACAGTAAATGAGTGGGATAAATGGTAGCCAAAAACTGAAATGTTCTGAGCATGCAAACCTAAAATGCAGGACAATCCATGATTACTAAAACAATTAATGAAACCACCTGAAACTGAATGATTAAGAAAAGTTATCATAATATGGTTAAAAATCATAAAAGTCTACTTTGCAAAACATGTTTCCTTTAAACTAAAATCACTTAGAAAGAGACCACTTCCTCCATCTAAGGAGACCAAAGCATCATTTGCCACTGACAGAGGTTTGTGCTAGCCCAATCCACTTTATTCATTCACACTTGTGACCCCTAGTGGCAGGATAAATGTTGTGTCCATCCTTACAATAATATATAAAGATTTATTTACATCTACATGCCATTCACACAGTGCTCAGTATTCAATGTTTGCTGTTCTTGTCAGTCCCCAGCTCCAGTTTGGCATCAGGCCCAAGGCTCTGGGGCTGAGCGCGCCCTCACTGACAGTACAGGTCCTTGTTTCTCTTGTGGACGTTTTGGAAGCCTTCTCATTTGCACTACATTTTGAGCAACAATCTGATCTTTATTTGCCTGCAACTGTGATGTGCTGCAGCTAATTTAGAGACCATCAACTAGAGGCAAACTACAGGGTTGGTTTAAAGACTACTACATTAGCCTGATCCTTATTCCTAAATATTATTTAAAACACTTTTTAATCATGAAGCCAAAATAGTTTTTGAAATACCAAGGCCAGTGATTCAGAAGAAAATTACAATCAAATCAAAGATTGGATCAGGATTTAACTATGTATGTCATCTGTTTGATGTATTTTATTTTTCTCCATAAAAAATCCCAGAAACATCTAAGTAACTGAACATTTTTGAACCACTGTCATAGGTGTAGGCAATGCAGGACACTAGTGTTGGCTGGTTACCTAGGAGAGCAGAGCACAGCTGTAAGACTTTGTACAAGTAGAAATGAGTGAGTGATTAACAGAGAAAAGTCATTGTGGTATGCAGGGTGGGCTTTGTGTCCCTGTATCTGGGTGTGTCTCACTCCTTCTGCCTCTCTTCACAGAAATCAAAGCCCATGCACAACAAAGTCAGAGAAGTCGCCAGTGGCCAAGGTCGCTATGAAATAAGGATCCTATTCCTACACTTTTCTCCAGATGGCAAATACACAAAGACTTCATCCATGGATCCCTGCTCATTCTCTACATTCTCACACCAAATGCTGTAATGCACACTAGGGCCTGTGGCAATGTCAAGACACAAAATGGGAATACCAAAGAAATAGGAGAAGCCTTTGCACAGCCAATGTCATTACTGTTGAGGTCTGTGTTTACACTATGCCTAACATGAAGGAACCATGGGATTATGACAATAAAGGCCTACATAATAATGTCTGTATGATACCCTGTAATTAGGATAAGCTAAATAAAGCAACAAAGGAACGCGAGGAGGTCACACGACAGTTGTTTCAGATGAAACAGAAAATGCCCAGAAGAAAGTTCAGAAGAAACGTATGTAAAAACAGAAGGTTAGTATTGCTAACACTGAATACAATTCATCAGTTAAAATGTTTGTTATTTAATGTGCCTTTACTTATAGTGTTGTTACCTTCTAAATAACATAACTGGAGTTGTGTTTTGTTTCATTCACACATACTGGAGCAATCCTTTAATATTAGTCTGTATACATCTCCAAAGCTCAAAATGCTGTACTCCACCTTGTGATGTCATGTAGTGGTAAATTAACAGCTATCGTTTTGACTTTTGTTCAGCCCTGGAATTGCCAAATAATTCTAGTGGAGGTTTATTGTAATTTAAAAACACAGCGGAGTATTTCATGTATGGCATCAGAAATTGGAACAGAGTGTTTTCTGCTGGGACAAGAACTCTTCATACTCAGGGTCTGTATGTTAAACATGTGTGAATGAACCAAAACATAATTCAGGGTATATTTTTGATGATAAACATTAAAACATAGATCAGAAAATAGTATAATAATGTTACTTTATTATTTTTCTACTCTCTATCTTCTAACTCTTTTAGTTTTATTATCTTTTTAATATTTGATGAATGAGACAGTGTCAGTAACTATCAGAGATGATTTGTGAGCTTCGAGCTTGCTTGCTGATGTCCATTTAAAAATGCTAATTATGGTCAAATCAATATGCACTCATGAAGACAGCAAGACGGTATTTACTGACTACAAGCACTAATAGCATTGTGAATGACACTGGTAGACTTTTGTGGTTGGATCTGTTGCAAAAACAGAGGAAGTATTGGTTTCACTTCAAACTGGACTAATAACGCTAATTACAGCCTCACAAAGCGATCAATACCAAATGAGACAGATGGATTAGTAACAAGCCAACAATACTGAAAACTTTGGAACAGAAAATTTGTTGGCACTCTCAAACTGTTGAAGCCTTGCTATCTGAAACTGGTTTGTGACAGTGGCATTAGCTTTCCATAACAATACATTATAATACATTTATTTCTGTCAGCTCCTTTCTTGATCCTTTTCATAGACCATAATACTCATGATCTCTAATAACCTTGGTCTCACTTCCAAATAAACAAAATAAAAAGGCAAAAATATATAATACCCATAAAAACCTTATTGGACAAAAGTTAACTCACGCTCTCCTCAGGGTCACATAGACACAAAGAAATTATTTTTTTTCCTTACCGCTCTCTTGGGGCAGGTCAATCAGACCCAAAAATGTATTGTCAAATCAATTCTTGCCAAGTGAGAAAATAAATTTTTGGGTCTGATTGACCCGCCCCAAGAGAGCAGGAAGGAAAAAAATTTATTTTGTGGTCAATGTGACCCTGAGGAGAGCGTGAGGATTTAAAAATTTCCCTAAATATGAAGTGAACGCACCTCCATTTGAGCAGCTGCTATGTCTTGGTCATAGTGCTCCATCATGTTGGGGAAGAAGGTCATGTTGTATGGCATTTCCAGACATCGGTGCACTCTGATTGGCTCACAGGTGAACAGGCTGTGGGCATAGGACTGTCCCACCCACAGCAGCCCCAAACACAGCCACAGTGGTCCTGGTAGCAGCATGGTAGTGGTGTATTTCTGTATCCTCTGTGCACCACAGATTATAGAATGGCTGGTAAAAGAATGTAGGTTTGAGAGCTTTTTTCGAGTCACCTCATTGCAGCGGGAGGATGTAGCAAAAGGGACACAGTTTCCATCATCCACACAGTACTGGAGCAGGTGCCCTGGGTCAAAGACACAACTCCCACATCTGAAATATAAAAACAGAGTTTGTGCTTTTTCATTTAATTACATTAATACTATGCCATATGTTAAAATTTCACTAATAGCTAACTAGATAGATAGATACTTAATTGATCCCAAAGGAAATTCAAAAACTGCATACATTTCACAGACAAAATATTTAATATATTGCTCCAACTCAAAAACAAGTTTTCAGATTGATTCAGCATCTTTTGTAAGTACACCAGCACCAGATAAATGCAAGACAGACTACTGGAACCTTTTTTTGACCCTTTTTTTGGCTCCAATCCCAAATGAGCTAGTTTACTATGTATTGCAGAAAGTACAGATATTGTTTTAATTGGAAAGCTCTTCCTCCACACCTGTTCCATATGGCATTGGGTTTGAGGCAAAGTAAACGTGACCAAATCATTAATAAAATACCGGTACAAGTGCAAACCTGGAAAATGACATCAAGACTAGTGTGATTTAAGAGCATAGGTCTGAGCTTGTCAACACACATTAAATTCCAGTTACGTTTCTACACTTTAGTGGTTGGGAGTTTTTCCTGCTTTGATAGGGCCCCATAAAGACTGAGTGTCAATTACAGGCAGTGAAATCTTCTGAGGAAACATGAGAGTGCTATTGTTGAGTTATACCAGCAAACATTACCATAGAGAGTCTTTGCATAGTACTGCTGTGTGTCACCAAGAGACCAGCGGGTTAAGCCACTCAATAAATAAAGTCAGTTAAGGCTAGAAAGACATAGATTAAGAGAGAAAACATGTTTAGTCCTGCCTTGTCGTTAGATTTGTTTTCACAGTTCAGTGCAATACAGTGCTGAATTTAAGGTTAGTAGATGAGTAACGCATGCTTAATTCCTGTTCATAATGTACTGATACGATACTTGTGGCACAAGTTTATCTAATCTAACCACAACGCACTCAACACAAAAGAAACATTTCCAGATATCGATTGGTATGCTGAATAATGTTGACATGAAAATAAAGGGGTTTTGGCAGCTCAGAGATATGTATTAAGAGGAAATAGGAAAAATAGTCCAGATAAAAGCGCATTTTGACACAAACAGTAGCAATGAATGGAGTTAGCTAACTTACAGCTCATTGTTTGAATTAACCAGAAATTTAACTTAATATCACAGTTAAAGCAAATATCTACCCAGGAGAGCTCTAAGGCGTTCTGATGTGCTAAAGAGAACCAGACAAGTTCTCTGTAGTAAACAAAACGTGAGGTGTTAGGGAGAGTACAGTAAACTTGCCTACCACAGTCGCCATGGGATAGAGCCAGAAAACTTCGAAACAATAAAGTTGGTAAAACAAAACTAACCCAAAATCTAAGTATAAATAAACTTACCTTAAACTCACACGACGTTCTAACTCTGATTCCTACATGAATATAGAGGAAGTATGGTTTTAGGGTGAAGATTCGCGACGTGTTTCGGTGAAAAAGTGATCCAGCTGCAGCTGCCTCTTCCCGTGTTTTCTTGACTGGAGCGTGTGACGTTTACGTGTAGTAGGACGTGTTATGACTGTGTAGCATAGATCTATTAAAGCATTGCAAATAACGTGTAAAGCACTGCAGTAATCACATCTGTTTAGAAGATGAGAAAAGCAATTGGACATCTTAAAGAAATTTGTTAAAAATTTACTCAGAACACCATAAAGACAGCAAAAATGTCATAATATAGACAATGCAACGCCACAAAATAATAGCCCACTGATAGATGGCCACTTGACAGTATATTAATGGATATTCACAAAATATAGTTCATTATTCAAGCTGAGAATGACTCTATCAATATCTGTAACAAATCTGAACAGCCGAAAGTCGAAACAGCAGTTCTTAGAAGTTGACACTATCCTACTTTCACAAACGCGTCAGTAGAGATTCATGTAGTAAATGGCAGGCATAAATCAGCAATGAAAATGTACTAAGTATTTTACATTGTTAGTGTTTCGTGTTCTTTGGTTCTTTCTTTGGTGGTCTGCGGGTAAGTAAAAGATATATAGCCTGCCTAATAATTTGTGCAAATATGGAGATCATTTCAAACCCCGACAAATAATAATAATAATAATAATAATAATAATAATAATAATAATAATAATAATAATAATAATAATAATAATAATAATAATAATTTAAAAAAAGAGCTATGTACCTGTATCAACCAATAATGCAGCCATCATTCACTCTTATTTGTCAGGTTATTGTCCACAAGGGGGAGCTTTCCACACTCTAGAGCGTTGTTCATGTGACTCCGTGGAGAGGCGGGGTTTCATGTCACAATTTAGGTGCTGTAGTGTTATCAGTAAAGTGTCCACGATCACTGGCTACATCTACCACTCACCGTGTTGGGTCGCTCCTTCCCTCCTCAACCCGTCGCCCATCATCGGACATCTGATACAACAATAGGGTACATGGTCCTGGTTAAATAAACGGCTCGGAGTCCTCCAGCACAGTCATATGAGGTGCGTGCAAGCTTGTTGTACATTAAGAGGGGATTTGAATACTGTCGACAACCGCAAAGCCAAAGCGAGAGGTGCTCTAAATATAATTTGGTGGGGATGCAACAGGATTAGGGGACTCGTACGAGGGAGGTGGCTATTCCCCTTTGCCTGAGTTTGTGAACGAGGCGATGGCCTGTTGCTGGGAGACCCCTTGACAGCTGGGAGCTTTTGGAAAGTGACAGTTTTTAATTCACTAAATGGTGTGTTCTATCTGGCAACCCAAACCTTTCACCGCCCCAAGCTCATCCAGTATTGCATGCTGTTGTTACTGATGCGTAATTGTGTAATTGCCTGTGCGTAAAGACAGCATTTTGTTTTCAATCAGAAGATTATAGTGTTTAATTGTGCCTTGAAACAATGGCCCACTTGTTCTGAGTATAAAATTAAACACTGTCTGTTATGGATACTATAGACTTAGGCTACTATAAAATAGTAATAATAGTAATGTTGGATATATGGGTTGTGTCCCTCCCTCACAAGAGGAATAGAGAAGGCATGATAGCTTTTGATATACAGCAAAGAGGGAAATTTTGTGTATTTTGTTTTGTAATTTATAAATTTTATAAATAAAGATTAGATCTAAGATCTATAGATCTAATAAAGATTAGATTTGCTATTTAATTTGATTTGGAATGGTAAATGACTTTGACCACATTTCCTTTTATATATCATACATGTCTAGGCTAATGTAGTGATTGAGCCATAACCTGAGTTAAAGTTAGACTCCTGGACAGTCTCCACTCTCTCCTCCATCCGAGACAGAGTGTAGCAGCCATGAAGGTCATTCCTGAAGTGATCAATAACTTGATTCACTGTGGATTAGACTCAAGAGGCATGGATAATACAGTCAGTCTATACTTGGGCTCACCCTTATTAACCATACACTACATACTCAAGCAATGTAATTTAAATATAAGAACGGTGGAGTGAATAATTGCATATTGAGTGAGCAGCAATACAGAGAATCTAAAGAGGCTTGGGTTACAGAATGCTTTTGTGTTGACCGCTGTTCACCTCTCTTACAACAGACAGTGGGCTATCAGATTCAGTTGTGTAGCACATAATGTCAAGGTTGTAGCTCTACCAAAAAGACATCTTGTTTGCTTGTTTCAAATGTAAATCATGTGTTATTCCTTTCTTTGTAGCTCTCACATTACTATTGTTCAATGTCCAGATTGAAACTAAACGTATGGCTCGCATCACTGGTCGTTGTTATATCAGTTAAGTACTGCCCCTGGTGTAGATGTTAGGGCAGTGCATATATGTGGTTGTTACTCCCTGTCTTTCATGTCATGGAAGCAAAAGAACCCTCCAAAAAGAGAGTTATAGTGGATGACGTATACAATGCAGATCTATTTTTTCTATTACAGTTAATGTATGGCCAAACCTCCTTGTCAAACCCTGATCAAATCTCAGAAGCTAAGCAAGATTAGTATTTGGATGGGAGGCCTCTGGGAAAATCATATGCCACAGTGGGGTGCCAGTGGTAAAAACTGTTGTTGTGTCCTTAGGCAAGGCATTTCACCCATATTGCCTAGTATGATAGTAGGGTATGTGTTGGTGGTGGTCGAAGGGGCTGATGGTGCAAATTAGCAGCCTCGCTTCTGTTGGAGCTGTGGCTACAATAGTAGCTTACTGGGTATGGAGTTAACTAATAACTTCATAATAATTAATTTAATAATAATTGTACAGTGACTTTGTGCATCTAGAAAAGTGCTATATAAGACTAATGCATTATCATTTTTATTTTTTCCAATTTTGTTTTCTTTATTTGACTTGACAGTATTGGCAAAGTGGGGTGAAGAGCAGAGATGACATTCAGAAACTCTTTGGATGCAAATTCAAGCTTACATATCATATCAACATCACAACACAGCATTTTTGGGCATGTTATATTTATTTCTAACTTTGTTAGCCTTTATACACACCACAGATGAACAAGCTAAAAGTCAAAATATGGCACAGCAAGCATTCACAAGGACAGTCAATGTCAGTGTTCACAGATCATTGGCTTGCATCTTTTCACACTTTGCACAGGAAGTTGTCAGGCTATGGGTAAAAGTGGATGGACTGAGTAAAGCTGACGTGCTGTTGTGTCCTATCAGGCTGATGTATGTGTCCAGTGAGGAAGCTGCAGTCCCAGGGAGCCACAAAGCACCTCTCGGCTCGGACCACTCTCCCCTGCCCCTGTCCCAACAGGCATGCCTTCTGAACCCAGCCTCATGTAAGACATATACTGACCGCATTCACCATTAATGAATTAGAACACAGAAGAAGACAACAACTTCTGTCTTGTAGAATACTGTACATTCATGTGGTTTAGCCATTTAAAGAACACAGGATGGACAATGTACTTAAAATCTGTACCAGGGTTACAAAATTTAATGAATTTCCAAAGGTGGTAAAAGGTGGAAATGTACAGTAATTGATGGGAATTAACAGGAACATATGAAACAGTGCTTTACAGTAGATATAAATGCACATAGCTCTTAATCATTGCAGACAGATTAACAATGCTAAAGAAGTCTTCACTGCCACATCAGACTGCCAGGATTTGATGTGTCCAGAGGTATAGTAGGTAACATGACCAAAATCAGGAAAGACATTTGGAAAAGGAATTGATTCACATGTCTGTATAGATCTTCTGGTGTGGCTCTGAGGCCAATGTATTTGTAGTAGACATCTTTTTATTTTGTATTTTGTTTTGCCTAATGCATCTCTATCATTTTGCACATCTGTATCAAACATGACAGATTTTAATTAGAACAGTGGTTTTATGACATTATGACTGAGCTCTGAATACTATATTTTCTGTCTGGCTTAACATCCACGTATCCTGACAATGAATGATGGTATTTTTGTGTACTATGAGTCATCGTTTACTGGCAATTTTATACTGTAAATAAATACTCTGAGATTTAGCTGGTGCATCTAATGAGTGAGATCAAATTTCATCTGAAGTCAACAACATTATAGTAATTAGTGGTTGACAATTGTCCAATTAAATTACCATCTCTATTGAAACAACCTAACAGTAGAATCCTTAAATCGTTTACTGCAAAAGCACTTACAACAATGTACAGAGCTATTTCAGAAGAACACACTGGAGAGCCTTTCTGTGTTTCAGCCTGACAGAGATTTACTGTATGTAGGATCAATACATTTCATTACATTTATGCCCAGAGTGCTTTGTCAAAGCATACTTTACTGCAAGCCCATTTAGAGGGAAGGAACAGTAGCTGAACATTTTAAGATATTTGCATGTTTTTCCATACCAATCCAAACTGAACTGTGACTTCAAACTGAAATTTGAACCTTAACTTAAACTTCTATAGTTGAAGGTTCCTCTGTTAAAACCAGCAATTACCTCAGTGCCATACATTTGTTTTAAATATATAGTGTCTGTATCTGTGTGCAACAGCTTTCTGTCCTGTGTAAATAATTTTAAATCCCATATCCTTATAGGACTGCTGACAATATGGAAATGTAAAAGACTGTAACATGTTTCCTGCTCGGTGATTGATAACGCTTGCTTTTATCCATTTCCAAGGCCCTCAGTTTGCTTCACTTTCACTTCCTCCAGCTGTAGTCAAACTACCAAACAAACAGACCCTGACTCATCCGTTGCCTCACTTCAGGCCCAAAGCACACACACACTGTCCACATATACACACATATTATTTCGGTCTCTTACACCCGGCACCATGAAGGTGACAGAGCAGGCCTGCTGGCACTCTGCAGCAGTATTTAGAATGACGTCCAGACGCTTAAATGGACTGAGATGGATTCAGACAGACAGGGGTACATTCTAATTGAGAAGAAGTGCTGGAAATGGTTAGGAGAACATTTGTTACATAAATAGACATGCACAATATGACATGACAAAGCTTCTTTTCATTGTGTGTCTTACATAAGAAATATATGTATTAAAATGATAGCTAAACAGAAGGGCTTCCTTGCCTGACAAGTCAATCCCTCCTACTGTTCGAATGCAGGTGGGTCTGAAACCAGACCATAAAGCACGCCTAACAACCCTCCTTATTTAGAACATGCTAATCACAGCCAGTAATTTGCTGCACATGTCCAAATGTGGATGACATCTCCTCTCAAACATTGTTGTTTTATGCAGAACAAAATCCATAACTTATTTTTCTTCAGATACAGAACAGTTTAGTGCTTCACTTGCTCGCAGAAATATGCTATTTCTCAGTCTTCTGTTTTTTTTGTTTTTTTTTTTACTTATACTTGCTCTAGCTTGTTAAAAAAACTGTAATAATGTGTCTGTACTAGAGAGGATAACACACTGTATTAGCCAGACATTAGCAATGACAACAAATAGCATTAAATGTCATATTGTGGTGTAATTAATGCCACTAACACAATACATCTTACTGTTATGAAATCTATCGAAGTATATTAGAGAAAGAAAATTCTCTGTATATGTATGTTTATGGTTTCCATGTGCAGCAGTGGGGAGATGCTGACAGGACAGAGGCTGTGCCAGTCTAAGTCCCACCAGGACTCGGTGCTGTCTGCCTTGAACCAGCAGAGGAAGGATGGGCTGCTCTGTGATGTGACGCTGGTGGCCGGAGAGCAAAAGTTTCATGCCCACAAAGCTGTCCTGGCTGCTTGCAGTGACTACTTCAGGGTGAGTATTCTCACTGTAATGTCAAAACAGTAAATCTTATGCCCTAAATGACACAAAATAATTCAATTGAACTGGTATTAATGAGAGTACACCAGCTAGTGAAATTATTTTTGTTTATATTAATTTGGTTCCACCTTGAGAATGCTCAGTGTCTAATTTTGAAAGCTAAGCAAGGGTGGGTCTTGTTAGTACTGGGATGAAGGTCTACTGGAAATGGAAATCAGCCGTGACCTCCAACCTCTCGGTTCTGGAACTACATTTCCTATTCATTTTTCACATAGAATTTTTGTTAGGAAAGCCAGTCTATCTTTGAACAGAAATGGGGGGCTCAGACACCATCTATCTCCTATTTACAAGTCCATCCTCAAAACTTAAATCAGAACAATAAAAAAAAAAACAGTAGGGATAGCCAGATCAGGCCCAGAGGTGTGAAAGCACCCCATATGGCCCTGAATGATTATGCTAATATGACCCCACACTCAGTGCTAATTCAATAGGCCTGGCTAACAGAAACTGTAAACAAGTAGGTGTTTTAGTTTCAGAGTAGTTTCATTGTAGTTAGCTCCTCCCTTCAGGGAGATATAAGGCGTCAGAGGAGAACTGAAGAAGCTTGGTTGAACTGCGAAACGTATTCAACCAAATAAACTTTTTTCCAGCTGACCAGTTGAATTTCTCCTTTTTCCTTTTCTCATAGAAGTTCCAAAAAAATTTAAAAGTTCAAAAGCTTGGTCGGAGATAATCAGCTACGTGTTAACTAACTTAAAATTTATTATTTATTGAAAAATTTCAACAACGACATAGTTGCTTAGCCTCTGTGATGTCTTTGAACTCTTATTATATACATTTTTTGAAAATGGGAAAAAATTGAATAGAAATTAACTTCCGAAACCTGAGTGAGCGGTCAGTGTTGAGCCCGATACCAAGTGCCATATTGGGAAGCAGTGGCTCAGTGGTTAGAGTGCTCTTTCACCAACCCACAAGACAACAGATTGATTCCCTCTCAGACCAGTGGATACCTTTTGGTGTCCTTGGGTACTTCACCTACCATGCCTATGTATCAATGTGGTTTGTGAGTTAGTGATTGGTGGTGATTGGAGGAGCTAATGGAAGCTTAGCACCATGAGTACGGACTGAATAGATAATGATTGTAAAGCTTTTTTGAGGCTCAATAATAATTCATTATATATTTTGTTACATGTCATTGAAACACTGTTTATGCTAATTTTAGATGGTTATATTAAAGCTATGTGGCATTGCAGCACAGTGCTAATTAGTCACCAGTGACAATATGTTATGTAACACTCCTTACTTCTGGGACTGTTTTGAACCTGCTAAAAACCTGAGCCATCTCCCTGCTCACCCACCTCACTGACTTTCTTTCCACTGTTTTATTTTAAGATTAGATTACCTGTGGTACAAAACATCATTCAGAAAGCTAAAATATTGTCTAGTAATTCATTAACATTGTCTTTTACTGCAGTGTAACAATCAGTTTAATTGTGATTGATACTTTGAACATTATGGCACATTTATTTTGAATAATATGTCCTCTATGTAAATGTTATTGAAAGAGTAATTAGGCTTCAAAACTGCACTGACCCTAAAATCCAGGTTATTGTATTGTACAAGCTTTATGTTCAGAATTAAATAAAAAAAATTTCATATTTTGTTGTGTAGAACTCTACCCTAAGTGAAGTTGCTCTTGTTCTGTAATAAATTGACTTCTCCAGATAGTTACAGGTGAGACAGCCTGGAAATCCCCCTAGACAAAGTGCACAGATGAGATTTGATCTAGTGACACAGAGCAGATTAGGAAGCAGAAATTAATCCCCCTTGAAAATGAGAGTGAGATTAAATATGTCTATGTGTCTGTGGGATTTCTGCTCCTGTGTGCGTGTGAAGGATATTTTTATATCAATGGCAGGCCAGCTACACTCTTCTCCTCCTTTTGTTTTTATCCTGTCTTTGTTCTTCTCCATTTTTAAACTCAGAATCCCCACTGAGCATCCCACAGAAGATTATTAGATCAGTGGGCTGCTGTACGCAAGAATACTGGCCTTTCTCCCCTGTTCCTGGAGCTTAATAGCATTATCTGTAGCATGTCATCTGACTCCACCACTGCCTCTCATTCATTTACTGAATCATCTGGTCAAGGTGCTCTCTTGAATAGCAAGTATGTCTCAGAAAAGGCTTATAGTTAGATTCACTTATGTGTAACTTGAATTACTTCTACTTCTAAGTAGTTTTGTTTAACCAGAAGCACACCTCTATTTGAGTAATTATTTAGAAGTAATTACTTTTCTATTTTTGCTGCAGTTAAGAAATATTTGACTCTAGATTCCATCTTTGTTTTATATTACTTTACATTATCTAACCCAGTGGACATGAGTAATTGTAAGGCATGAGCCCTCAGAGCATATGTAAACTGTTTACCTGGGACCTGCCCTCAAAGGGTCTCCTGTCTCTTTCAATCATCCATATAGCAGTATAAAGTCTGTACAGAGGTCAGATATGGTCAAAGGTTTTAAAAAGGAAGACATAAAACTACACCATACTTGCTCAGTGCAGATTTGTGTATTTTCCCTGGGTGGATTAATGAGTCACAAGTCATTTCTGGTATGATCACGACGAACAAAAACGCAATGTTTTTGAGCCACAGGGCAGTAGGCCAGCAGTACCCCACTGTAGCATCATGTGAACAGGCAGCAATCACTGGATTTAATCTTCTCTCTCAAATTAAATCCTTCTAATTTATGTGGATATAAAATATAATTGAAGTAGAAGTATGCCTATATCCCTCACCTCTTTCAGTAATTAAAGAGAAGAGAGCTGTGCACTGGGTACTTGTCCTCAATGGTCACAACAACACGTCTGTCCAGATGTTGTTGCTTTTTATGACCACTGCACCATACCCTGCAGGTCTGACCACTGGCCTTCCTGTGCACACTGATTCAATCTGTGTTGTGAGTAGAGATGTGCTGGCTTTAGCTCAAACCTGGCCTCTTGCTGACCCCATCTTCCATATCAGCTGTTGGGGCTTATGTATCAGAGTATTTGGTGCTCTTTTTTTCTTGTCAGAATGTGTTTCTCTGTTAAGTGGACTGCCCTGAGGCCTTTAGGTCTTGTTAGAATGTTATATAACATTATGGGAGTTCAGATAGTGTAGTGAGCTCTGCAGCACAGAGGAAAAAGACTCTAGAAAATGCTAATTACCATCAGCAATACCATCAGCCCGAGGCAACAATCACTGTGGGAAATAAGGCATTGATAACACACACAAGTAGAAATGTTGTCTCTACTCAGAGAAAATATAATGTGTTATAAGTCATCCCTACTTCCGAAAGATCTTCAACCATATATTGGGCCATGTTACTCTCTGTTTATCCCTATTGCAACTAACTCTTTCTAAGAGGACTCTATAATTTACTGTTGACTTTTTAGTATTGCTGCTATCGTAACAGCAAACTACTATTGTAATTGCTACTGGTAATAAACTGGATGACTGAACACTGGCAAAGGAAAATGTTGAAACCTCTGCATCATTAGACACAATGCATTTTCAATTATTATTGATGTTTCTTCCTATAGAAAAAGAACACAGAATGAGTTTCCATCATAAATACATTTGACACTGTTCTCTCACTTTCCCAGTCACTTGTTCTGCTGACTGGCCCCTGATCGATAGGTCTGTCATCCTCTCATGGTGTGAACTTGGTCAATAGCTTTGATTATCAGGCAAGGACTGGACTCACACAGTGATGCCCAGACACAGCAGATGCTGGCTGTGCTAAGCTTTGATTGCACATGTACTGTGGTGTACATTGGCTGTACTATAGTTAGTGTGCATGTGTGACTGATTTGGCTGTTTATTCCTGCTGACCTCAGGGGCAAGGCAGCAAAATCAATGGAGGGATCAAAGTTATAGTCTCAATTTGCATGTATAGGTACCTCCCAACTTTTCAAGCTTGTTAAAGAAATAAAGAATGAAGAACTGATGGTCTGCAACAGAAATATTTATACCACTGTATTTAAAATCTGAGAATAATCTCTACTAAATATGAGTCTAAGCAAAAGCAGATTTAATCTAAATCGGACTACAGCAAGACCAATGGGCATTAATGAGCCACATGGTATATTTGACATTTTAAATTAAATACTCTTTAAAGATTAATCTCATCGTTTTTGCTTTTTTTTAGTAAATACACTCTCCTAAACCAAACTGAACAAAATATCACAACAACTGTCCCAAAATTAAACAGGATCTTAAGTGGTGGGTCCTGAATCCCACCTGCACCATTAGCAGTTCCAGGACCATAGTTTGAGAATCTATGCTAAATTATATGACCAGACAACGAGCCTTTTTTAAATACTACAGGAACACTTAGGAGTGTACAAAGACATTGATTTTCCCATTGCCCCTCATTATCGGTCTCTTTAAAGACCTCTCTCAATTGCACTGACTTTATACTTCTATTTAGTATGTTGGGTTAAAACTGCAATTTTATTATGAATAAGTGCTATTGCCTCCTGCTGATGACCCTTCTTTGTCTTTTTTCCAGGCCATGTTCAGCTTGTGCATGGTGGAGAGTGAAGCAGATGAAGTTACCCTGCAAGGAGTGACCAGCGTAGGACTGAAGCATGCTTTAGACTTTGCATACACTGGACAAGTAAGTGCACCACTACAATGCAAAATAATGGCCATTGACAGGTAGTGCGGATTAGCCAGTCAGCAAAACACATTTTCATAAATAAATACATAAATACATAAATAAATATATTTAAAGAAAAAATCAGACTATCACATTTTCCAAACATTTAAAGTCATTTTTTCTACACATACCATTTATTATTTTAAGGTGATTTGCTTCTCATACTTGTGACAAATGAGAAATTCTACCTCAGCAGTGCTCACAGTTCAGTGCCAGGAACTTTGTAATTACTCTTAATGTTATTCCCACAGTGACAATGAGCGAAGATAGGCTGGTTGAGTTTAAGTAGGTCAGCAGCAGGCACACAAGCCGTCCTACTTTTGGGTTGGCTCAGCTCCTGTCTGTCTATCAGAGAAGATGCTGCGTGAGATGAAGGCAATATGCTTGTCCCAGCACTGCAGTTAATGGCAATCTAAAATCCTACAACCACATCATAAGCTAGGCACATGCAGTAGTATTAGTACACTAGTGTAATAGGAATAGTGGGATAGATTGAATATTGTGCAAAATACAGGATATCAAGATTCAATCAATAGCTAGTCTATCAATATACAAAAAAAAACAACTAATAATAATTAAGTGTAGTAGCATTACATGCACTCAAAATCAAGATGTAGAGTGAAATTATAATACACATATGGCTATTAAATTCTTAATATTATACAAAACAAGTAAGTCATAAAATGCAAAATACTAAAAAACACTAACATTTAAATGAATAGTATAAAACTAGAAGGGGTTTGTAGCTAGAGCATTCAGTCCTTGTTTGCAGCCAGGTAAAGCAGAGTGCAATAAAGTTTGATTTATAGAGCGCTCCCCTCACTCCCACACATGGCAGGCCCCGCACCATAAACCTGACATAAGCTGTGCTGGATTTAAAGTGATCCTACAGCAGTGGTCTATGGAGATGAGAGCAGGGAGCAGGATATGAGTAGTGCACTTAGATTTATTACAGTTATCATGGCGTGTTGTTGTACCCTCTGCTGCAGGGCTTCAGAGCAGATTGAGTTAAAGTGAAAAATAAACACATTTGCTGTTTTTCATCATCTGTTTACCGTAGCTTATTTTTATTTATCAAACAGAAGCATAGGAGGGAGGTTGTCCAATAAAATTAATGGTGTTATGTAAGACACGAGATCTTGTTTGTGCATGGTTTTCCAGCTGTAGGGATGGTGAAATACCTAATTACTGTCTGTGTTTTTAGAATGACCCACCCAGTTCCCAACAAATTGTAATTTGTAAATATATATTCATAATAATTCACTTATGATGACAAACACTGCTAGGACATTGATAATGGATGATGCGCCTCCATAGATTTTTCACACATGGGACACATCAGAATTGGGACTAAACTGGGACTAATTTCGGTACTAATCCTGGACTAAACCAGGACCAAACCAGGACTAGAACAGGAACAAATATGAAGGCAGCGTTAATCACTACAGTCTGCTAACTTAATCTGATTAATAAACATGGTAGGCCTATTTACCATGTTATGTGAGCACTCTCATTGGAAACCTTAGTACCCCCTTACCCCCTCCTAGAAAAAACTCTGGAGCTGCCTGCCACTGAATAAAAGGCTGTTATAAATAAGTGATTGCCTAATAAAGGTTTCTGTGTTAGTGTATGCAGTGTCCCAACTGTTTTAGAATTTCTGATATACACTGGATATTTGGTGTATTTAATTCTGAAAAAATATACACTACCAGTTAAAAGTTTTGACACACCTTTTCATTTATGGTTCTTCTTTACTTGAATGATATTCACATTGGAGCTTCTCTCTGAAAGGATTAAAACTATGAGTAAACGTATATGGAATGTAGTAAACAAAGAATAAACTCAAAATAACTCAAAACTTCTTTTAGATAAAAAAATCTTTGCAGCCTTTGCAGTAAATTATTCCAAAGAGCCCAAAGTTAAATATTGTATCAAAAACAGTAAGAACGAGGAACATACTTTAACACGGAAGTATGTTTTAGACTTTTACCTCTGGTGATGTTACGGCTCTGTGGGTAAGTAGGCCAGAGCACACTAAAGGATTAACAAAGGTTTACCTGCTTTCAAAAACAAAACATATTATTACCATGTTCTGTATGTTAACAGCAAATTTGTATAATTTTACATGATAAAATCCTCTGTTAAAATGTTAAAGCAATGATCAGGCTATTGAGAGAGTGGAATGTTAACTTGAGTATTAAGTGCTTTGTGTTTCTAATACCACTACTACTACTACTGTTAACACCTTCCCCTTTGACCATATTTGTAGCTCTAACACTGAACATAAAATACTTCCACTTGAATTTAGTTCAGTTCAACTGCACTTGGGTCCTTAATTTTCTCAAATGAGTGTAAAACTAGTTTTTCTACCTGGCTCCACTCCAGAGCTCATAAGGCTGGTTTATATCTTCAACAGATAATTTTAGCTGCTGTTCATCCACTTAAACAGAAGGCGTTTTGGCAGATTCAGTGATGTAATAATTATCATATGCTGCTAAGATGATCACGCTGTAGATGCATGCTAGAGCAGTTGTTATTATGCTTAGCAATCTGCCACAGTTATTCTCCAAGTCAAATAAATAAACTCATTATGCTTACACTCAGATCATGAGCACAAAACTTAATAGTTAACCTGATTTATGGATTTGAAAAGCAAGTAGAGCTTATCAAACCTTAAAATATTTACTGTAGTTAATTCTCAACATGACACATGACAACACTATAAATTGCTGCATCTCTTAATTTCCCTTAATTCAGCCTCTGTCTCGTCTGTGTGGTCAGATCGTGCTAGAGCCAGGGGTCATACAGGACGTCCTGTCTGCAGGGAGCCACCTTCAGTTGCTGGAGCTCCTGGGCCTTTGCTCGCACTACCTCATCCAGGTAAACTCACCAGAAGAGACTCACTATGGTTTGGTTACACAACATAAACTGGATCAACACCCTTTGGGCAGTCACAAATATAATCAATATTATAAATATAGACTCAAATGGTGCTTTATTATAGATTACTCATTAGAGTGACTTAAGGCAAATTAGTCATGCCTATAACTTGATCTGGCTTCCCAAACTACACACTTTGTAGAAAATATGTGATACGTGTGTGATATCATGTTAAATTAACTTGGTAAGATAACTTATTATGATAGAATACTCATAACTATGCCCCACATTTACAGTAGCAATAGCAAGCCTAACAAGCCTCTTAGAGCTACTCAAACTATTCACATTCACACTCATACATGAAGTGGGTGAAGTGTGAAGTCGACTTTTGAGTTGGTTGTTATGTGTATCCCTTTGTCATGTTGCACATTTAACACATGTTTAGCCAATTATATTTGAATATACAAGTTTAACTATACTGTTTATTGAGACTCAACATTTAGGGCGAAATTACCTGATATATCAACATCCCATAGCGCAAGTTGGTTGTCTTTAGCCCTAACTGGGCCACCATGTTGTTGATTCATTGTTTTATCACACTGAGATGTTCCAATGGGGACAGACAGTCACGCTGCTGTCCTTTGGTAAAGGGCCAGATGCTGCAGAAGGCGTACAGAAATCGGGTTAAGGATGTTGCAAAATCACTTGTGTTACATAATACATGGTCCTAAAAGATTTTATATATGTACAGATGTACGCAGAAACACAGTAGAAATACATTAGCAATTATTACAAGAGTCTTTACATGGCTATTTCATTTTTATTTATCAGCTAGTATCACAAATTATTGCTTTAGTATACTGTAATACAAAATCCTCCTCCAGAGACCTACAGTATAAGTTAAGACAGCTATTGGCTGCCATCTGGTGGCTCCTGGGCTAAACTGCAAATAGCTGGTATGACTGGTTTAGTTTTACATCCTATGCCTCAAGATATCAGCTGAAATGTATTTCTTATAGTTCATCTGTGGTTCATGCATGCCAGCAAAGATATTATTAAAACTAGTAGACAGTGGATATAGACTGTGTGTATACATTATTTGTTCTACTTTTGCATTTATTTATTTATTTTATTTATTTATTTTTTACAAAAATGGCATGAATTCTTGATTGAAATGACAGAGGTTAATTTAGTTGGTTTACTTGTATTTTTCATCTTTAATTATCAATATTCTTCAAGACGAGGTTCTCAGACACTGTATATGTGAATGCTTATGTGTTGTGGTTAGTATTCTAAATGGCCAGGAGATGGCAGTCTTATTCTACTAAAGTCCCATGTGCTATTATTTTTCTTTCCTTTTTCTTCTATTATTTGATCTTTATTTTCTATTAAATTCTCTACCCAGTTTGTTAGTTCTTATGGAAATGTAACTGTAAAATAGTACACTTCACCCACCTTCCTATAGTAGCTTGTACAGTGCAGAATTGTGTTATATTACTTCACAGTTTCCCTGAGGCTTTTGCATTCTACAGAGCATGTTTGCTTCCTGTAGGAGCTTAGCAGTGTAAATTACCTGGAGCTGTACCGTGTGGCTGACCTCTTCCACCTGCCCGCCCTGGAGGAGGCTGTGGTGGGCTTCCTGGTGGACCATCTCTCCGAGTTGAGCCAGAGTCGACAGGAGGAGGCCCTGCAGCTGCCCTACCGCCTGCTCAGGGAGGTCCTGAAGAGTGACCGCCTCACCTCTCTCAGTGAGGATGACATCTGGAAGGTAAACCCCTACAGGATACGTTTATACAGAAATCAATGTCCTCTCCTTTTTACCATATACAAAATGAACAATAAACATTAGAGCTTGAGCTTTAAGCACTTTAAACTAATGTAATGTTAAACTAATGTAATATTTTCATCACTTGCATGTGAACCTGTGCAAATTATGTCTTGGTGTTAAAAAGCAGTCAGCACAGTATAACACACCTTGAGACTTAGGGTAGAGAAACAGCGCTCAAAGCAGGCAGACTAATAAGTAACAAATTAAACTCTGCCATCTGTAACTCATGCTGTTTGTTTATATTGCTGAGGATATGAAGGAGAGGTAGTGTGTGTGATCGACTCTTCACTGGTCTGGGTGTGTGTGAATATGCATGGCTGATGAACTGCAGAGCGTGAAGAGATTGTGGAGTAAAAAGCGGCTGGTGCAAGGTAGGGTTTTGACTGTTCATTTGCACCAATCAGCCCCCCCTCCCCTGTCCCTCTCTCCCCGTCTTGGTGTCTCTCACCCCTTCTCTCTGATTAGGCCCACCGCGGCTCCATCAGGGCCCCAATCCCCCAGCTGTCACTCGGCCGGCCGTCTGATTGAAAACAATCAGGCCTCTGATGGCACAATTACCCTGACCCTTTAGCCAGCCGCCGCTGCCATAATCAGCCTCTGATTAGGCTGCTTTGGGCCTCCTTCACTTCACCCAGAAGGTTAATTTGGCCATCAGACGGAAGCAAACGGCAAACCTCGTCCCAAAGTGTGGAGGCGGAGGGAGTGGGCACAATATACCAAACTGATATAGCCCAGCCGTCAATCATCGTCAGGGAGAGTTTTCTTAGACTCTCTCTCATGCTCTCAGGAAATCACATTTTCTACAGCTTTGTTTTCATTCATTTTCTTTTCTGTGACTAGATGAGTGGAAGCCTTCTCAGTGCCTATGGGCCTTAGGCAGGACACAAGTGCCAGATAGTCCCCCGGACTGAAAGAGAGAAACACTTACATACAACTATTCACTCTCACATTCTTTTGCTGGACTGTTAGGACACAAGCATGTCTTTAGATGGCTCGAGTAAATCAGACTACTCAAAGAAAAACAACTCAGCATAGGGAGGACATGCAATCTCAATTCCTCATTGTTGTGTTGAATATGATACCCACAAATGACCCTCCCAGTTTTATTTTCGCCTATTTCACATCATCCTTTGCTTCCTCATCCTGCATTGTCCCTCTTTCAAACACACACACATACACGCACACATAGCCACAGTCCTAACACTTTTAAGAGCGTACGGGAAAAGCAAGGAAAAAGGAGTTGATTTATTCTGTGCCTTGAGGTTGTTGCATGATGCTGCATGACCTTCACAGTCAGCTGCTGTAGCACACACACACACACACACACTGTCATTTTAGAGCTATGAAGAGAGAGAGAGAACGAATAAGAAAGAGAGAGAGAGGGGGGCAAAGTGTGAGAGGGAGAGAGAGGGAGTGGGGGGTGGGGGCAAACAGTGGAGTGTCACCCATACCGTATAAGGGAGGATTTGCGCGTTTGTTGCATATTTCCACCTTTAGAGTGGATTAGAGTAGGGAGTGGAGAAAGGTGGCTTTGTTTGGGTTGAGATAATGTATGCGCCATACACTATTGGCTTCTGCTGTGGGTTCTGTCAAGCTCTCCCTGTATTCAAAACAATGTACCACCTGTTTCCTTTACCTCCACAAAGTTCAGAGTAACTTCTCTGTTGGTGCACAGCTGATACAGCTTTACTCTTAATCATACCAGGTAATCCTACCAATAATCAAGTTATGTGGAAAGTTACTACAAAGGGATTCAGGAGTTTTGACTCTGAAAACAATACATTACCATATTACCCAAGGCCATTTTATGCTATAATCTCTAAATTAGTATGTATTTACTAAGTGTTTTTGTAATAAATTGGGCAGTAGGACATGCGATAGTTTTGTTATAGTAATTTAACATTATCAATGCTGCAGTGACAGTAAAAGTAGTGGCATAGTAGTAGCCTTGTGATAAAGGTGGGAGCTGTATTAACCCTTTTTTAGTAGTAGTAGCAGTAGTAGTAGTAGTAGTAGTAGTAGTAGTAGTAGTAGTATTTCAAATTAATAATTGCAATGAATTTGTATTACTATTTTCCATTGCCCTTTTCTGTTTAGCTTTCTGATTAATTTTGTCTTTTTTTTCAGTTGGTCGTGTTGTGGCTTGAAAACGACTGTCGCTACCAGTACACTGAAGATCTCCTACAGCACGTGCGATACGGCCTCATGGATATCCCCACACTGCATCATCTCTCCCGAAATCACCCCCTGGTCCAGTCTAGTCCCACTGCTGCCGCCCTGGTGGAGGAAGCCTTGGACTACCACCATGCCACCTATTCCCAACCACTGCAACAGTCTGCTAGAACTAGACCAAGATTTCAGTCTTTGACACTGTACATCGCTGGTGGGAGGAAGCGCGAAGTTAGCCGAGTGCGTGAGCTAAGGTACTTCAATCCAGCAGCCCAGGATCATGTTCGGGTAGCAGGAGGGTCCAACTGGAGTGAACTAGCCCCGATGCCTACTGGACGGAGCCACCACTGTGTAGCTGTGATGGGGAACTTTCTTTTTGTGGTGGGTGGGGAGGTGGAGCATGCAACTGGGAGGACCTGTGCTGTAAGGACTGCCTGTAGATATGACCCCAGAGGAAATCGCTGGACTGAAATTGCACCCATGAAAGTTTGTAGAGAACATTTTGTTCTGGGAGCTTTAGGGCAGTACCTGTATGCTGTAGGTGGCAGGAATGAGCTGAGACAGGTGCTGCCCTCTGTGGAGCGGTACTGCCCCAAAAAGAACAAGTGGATGTTCGTCCAGCCCTTTGATCGATCACTTTCTTGCCATGCTGGGTGTGTAGCTGACGACCTGCTCTGGATTTCAGGTACAAAAAAAATCTAATAAAATGATGCAAGATGTCAGATTTAGTGCACTATCTAACTTTTCTAGTGGAGGGTCAGCCACCTGCTTGTTTCTATTGAAATGTTGCTGCTTTGTTTCACAGTATAGATTAAACCTATTTATCTATCAGGCGGGAGACAAGCAGTTTACAGCACATGCTACATTACAGTTCAGATCTGCGGAGTCTTTTCACAAAATTATTCCACTTTTGAGCAATAGAAACATGCATAATGAATACATGCTAGATGGATATGTTTAAGTATTGTGATGTTTAATACCATGGAACATTCCTGGCAAACAAAAAGCACCTCCATAGAGACACGTAGGTAGCATACCTGCCACCAGAAAAGTTGCGCAGTACACTTCTAATATTGTTAAAAGGGGAGTTGTGAAAATGTTTTCAAAAAATCAGCTCTATGTTTATTTTGATTGCATGACACATCAGGGATTTGTGTAAGTGAAGGTATTCCCTCAACGAAGCTCTTAACTTCAGAGTCTGTTTAGAATCAAACAAAATAACAAAAGATAAGCAATTATTTCACTCCCAAATAACACTGTTTTTTGTTTTTGTTTTTTTTTGTTTTTTTTAATGATATTCTTTTGGAAAGCAGTTAGTGAAGTTGTGGAGACCCAAGATTAATTTGTCTGAGTTAAAAAACAATGTAAAATGTGTTTGTACGTTTCTCTTTTGCAGGTGGAGTGACAAACACAGCCCAGTACCAGAATCGCCTAATGGTCTATGATCCTGAACAGGTAACAATATATTAGCTAATTTCAGTGGCAAATGGGGAAGTTATGAGTACTTACATAACATACAGAAAGACTGGAACGGCAGTCTCCACTCTGTAACACCCTTGACAAATCAAAGACGACGCAGGGATGTCTTATGAAGGCTACTGGCCATATTAAGTTATTGAAGGCAAAATTCATGTCCTTTGCATCATTTATTTTTATATATGGGCAGCGGGAGGTATGCCAAGATTTAGTGTCATTTTGTACCTGAACTACATTAATATTACACTATAATGAGACTATGGAAAATGAATGGAGACCTTCTGTTCATAGTGATGGATTACACAACATGCAGGTGTCAAGAGCCTGCTAATTGATTTTTGTAACATATGGAAATTATTAGAAACGCATTTTAGAGAAGCATAAAACTTATGTGAGAATTGAATGTGAAGAATGTGAAGTCTAACAGCATACCTTGAAATATGCACCATTTCTTATCACCTATTGTAAAAGTGTTAGAGACACCTGTCATGTCTCCAAATAGAGACAGTAAACCATTATGAATTTAAAGTAAACTGAAGAAAACTAGTATCTTTGTTGTTTTTATCCATAATATTACAAAATGGCCATAAGAACAACCATATCATATAAGAGTATAGTTTAGTATGCAAGGGAGGCTGACCTATAGTAAACTGACTGTACATCAGAGAAACATTGCTTGCTTCATTGCTACACTAACAAAACTGCAACTCCGAAAATATTCCTTTTACATGTATTTATCAACATTTATTCTGTAATAACTAGGGATGAACCAATCTGATACTGACATCAGATATCGGCGCCGATATTCTGATTGAGCCTAAAAATTGATCTAATAGAACTATTTCATAGTCATAGTCTCATAATGTTTGCATTTTTATTTACACAAAGCTGTTCAGTAGTTACCTGTGGGATAGATAACAGCTACATACCACATTTGGGTCAGCCTCTGCACTAATATCAGTTGATATCAGGTATCGACAGATACTTAAAGCTGTAGTACCAAAATCTGTGTAAAAACTGAAAAAATCTGATCGGTGCATCCTTAATAATAACTTGTAGTAAAGTCATTATGAAGCAGCTTAGTTTTGAAATGTGAAGAAACAAAACACTTTGAAGATGCATATTTGTATAGTTATTTTAGCTAAAAAGTACAATATAGCACAGCAAGAAATGCATAGGCTACCATTTAATTACAAAAGATGTGATTGTTTTACTGGTGCCTTTATGTGCACTATCCAGGACTCACTGATGGAATGCATGAAGCTTTGTGTTTGTGTACGTATATGAGCCAGCTGCTAAAGACGCTTGGATCTTGTTAAGGCCGTATATAATGTGGGGGAGTGTATATACGCTTAAGGTGCACCTCCATATGGGTCTGTGTTTGTACATGTCTGTGAGGAAGGGAAGTGAGGGAACGAACCAAGTAACCAGCGGAAGAAAAAAGTAGGGAGAGAGAGAGGGAGCATCTCATTTGTATTCACCGAGGATCTACATTCACCTGCCAGAGCAACAGCAACCCCCCACCCACTCTCCCCTCAACAGATGGCCACCCGTCAGCTCCCAGCAGACGCACACACATTCACTGCCTCAATCAAGCGCACCCTCTCTCTCCCTCTCTCACACACGCGCACATACACCGACATAGAATAAGCTTCAGCACACTTAGTGAAATGAGCAGGGATCCTCGGTGTAAAATGGAGTGGCTGAAACATATGATTAGAAATAGGGAGGGAAGTCATTAGTAGAGACCACAGCTCTAGTGTCACGTTATTTATCTAGCACTGAGCATACATCAATTACCCATGCATGGATCTGCTTAAATATTAATCTTCTTATTCATCGTTCCTCTTCCCCCCTGCCACCCCTGTGTTCCTCTCTCACTGGCTTCTTTGCACTACATCTCACCTCCTCCATCTCATCCTTCTCTTCTTTCTATCACTCCATCTGCTTGCCTTGCCCCATCCATCACTCTTGCATTGTGCCCAGGACCAGTGGTTGGCTCGCAGTCCCATGTTACAGAGGCGAGTGTACCACGTCATGGCGGCGGTGAGGAGGCATCTGTACGTGCTGGGTGGAAATGATCTGGACTACAACAATGACCGGATACTGGTCAGGCACATCGACTCGTATAATATGGACATGGACCAGTGGACACGCTGCTCCTTTAGTCTGCTCACAGGTGGGAATAAATCAAAACAGTGTAAAATAAACAACATTAAATAAGCAAAAAAATATGTAAAATTTAAGGAGTTCTACTATAATAATACTAATGCTCCCTCATAGAGTAACTTAAAGGTGCATTGTCCAACTTTTCTGGTGGAGGTTCCGTCATCTGTTTATCTTCATGGAGATGTTATTGCTTTGTTTGGAATGTTCCACGATAGAGATTAAACCTATCAATCTCAAGGGAGACAACTATAGGCCACATTACAGATCAAATCTGTGGAGCGGCAACCCTGTTCACTGAGTGCATTATTGCAGTTTTTTGAGGAATAGGAACGCCAGTAATAAATAAATGCTAGATAGATGAGTTTAATGTCATACCTGGAACATTTCAGGAAAAAGCAATAACATCTCCATGGACACAAGCAGGTGAAAGGCCCTCCACCACAAAAGTTGCGCAAGGCACCTTAAGGCAGATTTGTGGATGTGGACCACTGAAACATGGCTCTTGACAATAAATTTCAAGTTCATAATCTTCTGTTCATGTTTTTCAAGGGTGCAAATATTAGTGGCTGGCTCTGCATTTTACAACCCAACAAATGCAAATTAAGACAATACAATTATTTTACAATTTGTCTTCTCATTTATAATCCATTGCTTTATAATGAAGTCACAATACCAGTTATTTCAAAAGTTGAAGTAGGCTACAATATATTACTGAAGAAAATATAGACAGTAAACTATAATATTGAATGCCATTATGACACTGACAAAATAACCCTAAAGTAGAAGTTATTTATTCAACCCTGTACAGCTCAAGTCTTATCACAGTGCAGAAAAATAACTAAAAGTTCTCCACTAGAACAAAGAAAAAGGTACCCATGATAAATACTGACCTCCAAAAATAATTGTTTTTTGTATCAGTTATTGAACAATATAGTATTTAACGTGACTACCTTCGCCCTCCAATCTCTAAAGTTCACTATGAAGTTACTATAAAGCCTTTTACCTCATTTCTCCTGCTCCTTTGCCCTCCCGGGACGTGAAAGTGATATTGTGAAAATGCCCTGAGCTCAGCAGACTGCAGCAGTGTGTCATCTGTGCCCTCCTCAGGTCAGAACGAGTCCGGTGTGGCGGTTCATGATGACAGGATCTATGTGGTGGGAGGCTACTCCATTTGGACCAATGAGCCCCTGGCATGCATTCAGGTGAAAGACAGAGCTCCTCTATTTGGACAGTTTAGACACTTGAGGGTAATCTAATAAATTGGGGCTGGCTTTGCTGTTTATAGTCTAATGATAGTGCAGCCAGTGTTTTTGTGTCAAGTTATCAGTTGAGGTTGCATCCAAGTGAAGTACAAGGCTAGACCAAATCAGTTTGATCACTGGTCCAAATTCACTAACACTCATTCTAAGTTTTCATTTCATCAAAATGAGTAAACTACTAAACAAAACCACAAAATACATACACAGACAATAATTATGTTTAAAAACATTTTCTACATAGGGGCAAACTTGTGTTCCAAATTTATCTAACACATTCTTGTCTTGGGGATGTGGGAAGACCAAGGTCTGCAACATAAGCATGCACACTATTTTTACAAATGCAATCCATATACATTGCAAGGAATTAGTTAATCAGTGTAAGTAAAGTGTATTCTCAAAGCTCAGAAAAAGCACTAAAACAAATACAAAGAATCAAATAGAAGCAGAAAAAAAATCAATACATCTGTAACAATGTGAATTTTCCCCCCACAGGTACTAGATCTTAGTACAGAGGGCAAGGAGGAGGTTTTCTATGGACCAACACTGCCTTTTGCCTCTAATGGAATAGCCACCTGTTTTCTTCCTGCTCCATATTTCACCTGCCCAAACCTACAGACGCTGCAAGTACCCCATCACAGAATTGGTGCTGTCTAAACCACTGCTGAAAATCACATTACAGACTACATCCTCATGACTGAACATTACTACGTTTGAAACTGGCACATGTTACATTTATCTAACTTGAATTTCTTATGCTACTGTATAAGGCAAGCTATAGGAGACTCTGAAACAAGGAGCGTGCACATTAAGCAAGCAAATTTCCCTGAAGACCAACGTATCCTTTTTTAAAGTACAGTCAAGATGCAACAGGCTTTTAAAATGTACTTGAAAAGGATCAAAGGATATTATCTTCAACCTTGAATCTGGTAAAGAATATGTGGTTTGTGCTTCTTCACTGTTCACAGCCCATACAAACTTCTGGGTAAGGCAAGCCATTATAGGGCTATAGCTTTTTTAAAATGCTATGGCTTATATAATTACGTATTACTCTGTAGGTTCTATTAAATTATAAAGCTCCGCTGTTGGAAGCATTTTTGTTGTGCACTTTAAGGAGCTATTGGCACTAAGACTGAACTAACACTTATTAAGTAAAAAATATTGCTTTAAATTACTGCTTTATTTGTTGCTTATTGGGTGAAAGTTATCTATGAGTGTGTTTTAAATACTTTTATACACTGGACCTTAAACTGGTGAAACTGATGTGATTGTCTGCTTGTTTTCATCCAGAGCATTTTGAAATATTATTCCTGTGTATACAAAATACAGTACTGTGTAAAGATTCTAAGCAGATTTGGACAATGTTGTCAATTTGGAAATGAATTTATTAATATTTTAGGAAACATCACTGGTGGGACAAAGAGAACTTATACATTGTTCTCACTCAACAATTTGTCACAACTGACTCATGAACATCAACTAGTAGATTTACAAAATAAAACCAAATAAATTTCTATAATTGAGTCCAAGTCTGGCCACAAGTGGCTTATCGCAAATAAACTTCTATTTTATTTTTTACTTTGTGTCTTTTGCACAGTACTGCATCCAATGTCAGGCTCATTCCACTTTTGTTGTTTTACTATGAACAAAATGTGATCTCAGCACCTTTCCTTACTTGTCCAAATACTGTATGTATGAAAGATTATGTGAAAAGATACCAATAAACATCCTGCATTAAACAGGGCAGTGTAAAGACTTACCTCTATTATTATAGAGACGAATGAGGAAGTTTACTTTATTTTAACAAATAGTACAAAACATGGTACAATAAACAGTATCATTTATTGTGATAAAAAGGTAGGCAATATTCATTCATGGGGCATTTTATATAATTGTGATAATCACCTATAAAGACAATCAACATTATATCACCAGAATGTGCTTAAAAAGCTACTTATACATGATGTTCTCTTCTGGATCAATGTTTATTTCACTTATAGCAAAGTACAAGAGATGGGCTGCTTTTTGCTCTTTTTTTATGTATTGGCCATCAGCCTTGGCTTTCTTCTCTCATCCGGCATTTGTCAGTATTTTTTCATATTGTCAGTATTGGCATTGGCCATGAAAAAAAAAACATTGGTTGATCTCTACAAAGTATTATACTTACTTTAAACAGTTGTTTAAATATGGAACCTTCTCATAATATTAAAATTATAATTATCCATCAAATCCTATCTTAAAGTTGCATTGTGTAACATTTTGGTGCAGCTTCCGCCAACTGGACCAAATTAAAATCAAAGAAAACTAGGTCATAATTAGTGTGTTTGAATACATGAGTGCACCTCCTGTAGTACCAATACCAAAATTTGAGAATCACTGTAATAGAAAACTGAACATTAATTTATGCTTCACCTCCATTGTGAGTCTTCTCCCCCACAAGCTCTGATAGTGTTGGAGAGGAGGAATGCGGCGTGGCAGAGAAAGCACAGATGAAGGGATGCATTGCAGTTTGATGAGGCTGGAAAATGACTAGCAATGACAGAAAATGGGGCCGGGTGATTGTGGGAGACAGGAGTGAGACTTGGTGTGATTAGGTGCAAACTAAAGTCGGATTGCGAGAGATTGCTGCGACTTGGCGAGGCGAGAGAGAAATGGAACAAACAGTTCTCTATAGAGGCAACTCCCTTCTTTAGGATGCTGAAGATTTAGGGTTGGCCTAAATCTCCACAAATTTATAGTTTAGGAGTAAGAGCTATTTTAATAATGTGTCAAAATATTATATGATTAATGTATTTTGATTTAAACATCTTACAACATGAAACATCATAACACTAACCTTTCTTCTCGAAACCTTTGGTAATAATTGTGAGTCAGTATTGAGTCCCTTTTAACAGAATTTTTCCATGTATCCATAATTACATATGTGTGTACATCCCTATTTGCATTCACTATGAAATGTAACTGCTCCACCAAGTCAAACATATATTTCATGTACATTTTAATTATTTGGTTTAAATAACAATTGCTATTTAGATTATGGACATTATATACATTATTTTTCACTTATGAGCCATGATTTTTCACATATTTAGATTTTACACTAGTTATATTATGCCAGGAGCAAGTAAAAGCCATAGCATATGTTTGGAGGAAGTCCCTCAGCGATCCACAAAATCGCAAAAAGCCCAGTATGACTAACAAGAGATTTTCAGGGCTGGCGCAGAGTCCTGGAGCTAATACTTTTCAGTCCTCTTCCAAACTTGTTATTTCCGCTTGCCCACTCTCTCCGAGAAGACACAGCAACTTCTTATAGGCACTCCTGTTAGACACACAAATTGTCATCATTTTCAAAGAGAAAAAAGAAAAGAGTAAAGAGCCATTGCAATTTTCTAGTTCAGCTCGTGACACCTTCCAAGACGTCTAGACAATTTAAAAATAGTTGATAGCCATGAATACTCTCTGCATGGCTTTCAAGATATGATTCATGTGCATCACGCTCACCTCAGCATTGTGTTCCTGCCCAGCCCTCGCTTGCGTTCAGTGTTTCTCAGACTCAGAGACAGGTTGGGGATGAGAGCTTGAACCACAGCAGCATCTAAGAGAGTTAACGTTTCCAGGACGCTGTAGACCTGCCTATCATAGACCCCCTCATTTTCCTCCACAAATGACCTGAGAGAAAAAAAAGATAATTATTAAGTTATTTATCTTTTTTTATTGCCATTTTTAGTCAGAGATTTATCCTATCTATGCGAAAAACCTACAGGGTTTTAGTCAGACATGAACCCACAAGGGATCTTACAATAACATTATACTGTTCGATTACCAGATAAAAGCTTTAATATTGAGTTGTAAGTTGTATTTTGCCTAGTTCCATCGGCCCAATTGTTGCACCACTCAAAATTCAAGTGCCGTTGACAAAAATGAATGTACTGATATGTTTAGTCTGAATCTCAATATTATTATGTCCATCCAAATAAGCTAAAACATTTCTTCAAATGTATTAGTTCAAGTTTAAGAATCATGTGAAATGAGAATACACACAAGTGTAGAAATCTCTTTTTATACCCTTATTTATTAGGTCAAAACAGATTCAGAAGAATGCAGGGAGGACCTAGATGAAGTTAACTTGAGGGACAAACACAAAACGATCATCTAAATCTAACTTGAATAACTTGCTTGACTTGATAACTTGAACTTGAATCCACCTGAGAGTGATAACACTAGATATTCAATGCACACACTCTTACTTTATATATTAAACTGCTTCAGGCAGTATAGAGCTATGCAAATCTCATACAGGTGTAGGCATTTATTGCTAGACATTATTGTCAATTACCGCAAGACAGTGATCATCTGCTCACACGGTCCCTCTGCAGATGCAGTAGCACAGCGCTCCACTACAAGCTGTAAGGCATCTGTGCTCGTCGTCCTCACTGAGCAAACACCAAAAACACCAACAGAAGAGAGATACACAATTAGTCTGACTCAAAGATAGTTGAGCAATGAACAAAGTTAGTAAAGATGAGATTATGATAAAGATAAAAAAGGAAAGATGTTGCTATGCCAGCAAAAGCAATAATCTTGTATCATGTTATGGATTTGTCTTTCAAACGTGGTTTGATTAATGTGTGTCACAAATCGAAATCTTAAAGCCTTATGTTGGCCTTGCTTAAATAATGGGTACTGTTTATTTAGGCACAATGTAAAATAACACAATATGAAAGAATTCCTGGTATTACTATACTTTTGTATCATCCCGTTCAACATACTGAACACTTCTGTATGAATGTGCAGCTTCTTTTGATAAATTAACTTTATTAACTTTACCTTGAGCTTCATTTACAATCATCAAACTACGAAGAATGGAGGGCAAGGGAAGAGTTAGTAGTGCTGGGTCCGAGTCTCGATTTCGTCTCAAAATCTCCCAAAGAAACATCAAAACCGACGCCAGACGTGGAGGGGGTGTGTAACCTTTGAACTGGAGAAAACTCTCACTGAGATAAAAAAGGAATACAAAGTAAAATTACACAGGCCAATATTTATTTATTTTTCAGATATGCATTTCTCAAGGTTGAAATATTTGTGGCTCATTTCTTCTGCATTTGTAAAGTGAACATATATAGGACTTGCCATAGCACTTCCAGGATGGTTCTCCGCAGCGCTACTCCTCGTGGGGTTGGGCTGGACTCACATGCACTCAGGAGCACCGGGTGATTGGCAATGGTCCCGATAGAAGGGGATGGAGGAAGGAAATGGTCCAGGTACCTGCGTGTAACAGAGCGCAGCTGCTGCTTCAGGTAGGCACCCTGTGACTGGGACACACTAGATGCCACTGACAAACCCTGTGGGAGAGATAAGGTTTGAATATGTGGCTTATATTCAAGATGTATGTATTTATTAACAAATTTCCCCTTGTTAAATTCTAAATATTAAAGCCACCATGACTATCCAACTTTTACAACCAATTATATCAAATTTATGTTTTACAAAGAGTAGAGCAATTTAGGTTTAGGTAAGAAATACATCAAGAAATACAACTTACATAAACTTTTGTAAGTGATTACAAAATCACACAAATTACAGTAAATGAACTAAAAATAAGAACTAAACCAAACTGGACTTCAGTAGCACATATCATATAATGATAGATTTTTTTCCTAACCTGTAAGTACAGTGGAAGGCTGTCCCTTAGTGCTTTGTCTTGCTGTGTGACATTATGTGGAAGTAGTAGTCCGTCAACAATTTGAAACAACAGCTGCTGGGCTTTTGATGTGGCCAACAGGGGGCTCCAGTGCTTCACTATGCAGCCTGGATCACAGAGATGAAATGTCAAACAATGCTTTAATGGGGCAACATTATACAGTTAGAGCTCAACACAAGATGAAACAGGTCTGTATTAAAGTAACTGTAAACATACCAACGGCCCAATAGGTGAGCTGCAGTGCCTCCTGGTTTTTGCTAACTAAAGACGGTTTAATGTGTTTGAATATATCTCCCATGTAGTCCAAAGCTCTTGTGATCATGGCTGAACGCTCAGATAGGCCCTGTATCCTGCTGTACGCAATACCTACAGACTGGCAAACATGGAAAAGATTAGACTTGATAACTGTGGCATCAAATGAAAAATTTAATTCAAACTTCAGGGCTGTTTATATAAATTGTGATGAAATATGAGAGTGCATGCAACTTAAGTCCTTAGTTCTACTTTTTTTCTCTAGGATTTGGGTGATACCTTCACAAAGAGCTCCAGGGCTACACTGGGCTCTATCTTGTTGGCTGCAGGCTGTAGTCCGGCCTGCTGCAGGAGGCTGTCCACTTCGGGGAGCCTCAGTACAAGCCGGGTCAACTCATACAACTGTTCCTCCACTGCTCTGGCTGAAAAAACAAACAAGAAAAACTTAGCTATAGAAACAAAAATAACAAACTTCTGAAAGCAAAAATATACCCGTTTTGTTGTTAGTCCCATCTTGGTTTTTGTGAAGATGTTGTTGCAACACACAGCGAAACCAGGCCCTCACTGACAAACTTATACCAGAGCCACATGATCCAGTACTGGATTCATGGCTGAGAGATGCCACTACCTCACTGAATGAGTTAGAGGAAAACAATTATTACAAAGAAACACACGAGATCATCTGAATTTTAGGGAATGACCTTAATGACCTAATCTCATTTGATATGGTTAATCTTGAGATGGCAGACCAGTGAGAATACCAGGTGCTGTAGTGGGGCAATGTTGTTATG